TATGACATCATTTCTGAGTAAACGTAGACTGACCCTGGACTGACGTAATGGTCAGTCTGGGGGAGTACCCTTATGAGGTCATTTTCCCCTGTACAAGGGTTAAATCACAGTCTTGGTTTGCTGTGGGTGCTTGCTTGGAAAATAGTGACGTGAAGACCTTGGGGTGTAATGTGGGACACCTGTTGTGAGAGTAGTTGTATGTGTGCTGAGGGACAGTACAATTTCGTTCTTACATTTACTTTCCCTTTCCTCTTGGGGAAGAAAACGTCCTCGTTTTCAAGGTATAAAAATAAATGAATTACGGTTACTTAAAAAAATACCGAATTAAACAAAAATATATTAAAGTACTGTTGTGTCCAAATGCGTGTGCAAGAATATTAAACTGATGAATACACAAAAATTGTCGTTACACTATTCAAAACTATGAACAAAAAAAAATTACAGAAAATTCAAGAAAGTACAAGTTGGTCTTATTCCTCCATGGTCTTAACAACGACGAAAACATCTGTAAAGGTGGAGAATGATAAGTGGACAATGTGGTGAATTGGATATTATACCGTAAATGAAGTTCATAAACACATTATTCGAGAGCATGGGCGTCGCCAGGATTTTTTCTAGAGGGGGGCAAAAAAATTTTCTAAATAAGACATCAAATCGTGGTCTAAATAAGACATCAAAATTGGCTAATGAACTGAATTACATTGGAATGTAAACTGTGAAAATGACCACACGAGTAGGCTACATGGAATTGGGGCAGAGGGAGGGTTTTGGCTTGTGTTCATTGGGATGGACATTCACGGCTACCTCGAGCCGGCGACACCAAAGAGGAAAATCTTCGGTGCAATTTCCAGAAAATGGGGCAGGGAGTTCGATCTTAAAATACCGTATCGGGGGAGGAGAAACTACTAAAAGTGGGAGGGGGAGACATGGCTGCAGCAATTGTGCAGTAAAAAAAATACAGTGAAAAGATAAAACTAATGAACCTAAAAGGAACTATAAGGCTACAATAATAAACAATGGCAAAGATATTTGGCTAACATAAGCAATGTGCACAAAATATGATGAAATACAAGTGATGAAAGAAAGCACAGAAAATAAAAATGGTATAAAACAAAGAAAATGGTACAAAAATGTGCAAAAACAAAATAACTTGCAGGAATTAAGTCTTCAGCTGGGCACCGTCAGCGTTGGTCCGTCGGCAATGCACTGTTCACAGGGATGATTGGCACTTGCAGGACTGGATGAACTGGCTGGACGCAGCTGAGAAGACGACGAGAAGTACGGAGGACGGGGAGGACAGGAACAGGAACACAGCTAGTTGAGAAACAGGAACAGTTCGAAGACAGGAACAGTTCGGAAGAGAAGACACAGGAGGTCGAGACACGGAGAGATGGCTTGAAGACAACAGGAACGGCAGTAGCGGCAACAGGAACTGGGCAGAGAGGATGGAACAGGTCCAATCAGCCACGAGGACCAACAGCTCAGGCAGTGCAGAAAGGGGGTCTTTGGCGAGCCGTTAAAAACGGGAACAAACAGGACGACTGGAAACTGGAACAGGCAGGACTACTGGAACAGGCGGAAACTTGAAGCAGGAACAGGTAGAAATAGGGGCAGGAACAGCAGGAACAGCAGGAACAGGCGACAAAGTTATAGTTACAGATGAGATGCCAATTCAACGGCTTGTGAGGGTAAACACTCGCTGCTACCAGTGTAACATCAGTAGCTTTGGATATAATGTATAGTCTTTGGAATGTTTGACTATACGTATATGTTAAGATAGGGTAGATATGGCTAAGAGCGGGATGAACGATGACTACGAAGAATACAAAGACACACTGGTAATGACTATGAGCTCAGCTATATGGAAAACTGGTTTATTTTCAAGAACTCAATATTCTCCCGGTATTGTGTATGTATAGAACTGTAACCTCAGACCATACGGCTGAATCAGCTTATGGGTATGGCTGGGTACCAGAATAAGTTGGAGACATAAGACAGAGGCTCTGAAGAGTTGACTGAAGTGGGAAAACGTGGACTTTTTGTACAATTTCTGAGGGGCAACTTTGAGTGTAAATAGGAGATGATGTCATATAAGGAAACATAACTTATATGACATCATTTCTGAGTAAACGTAGACTGACCCTGGACTGACGTAATGGTCAGTCTGGGGGAAGTACCCTTATGAGGTCATTTTCCCCTGTACAGGGGTTAAATATCACAGTCTTGGTATGCTGTGGGTGCTTGCTTGGAAAAGAGTGACCTTGGGGTGTAATGTGGGACACCTGTTGTGAGAGTGGTTGTACGTGTGCTCAGGGACAGTACAAATTTGAGTAGCTTTAAGCAAAGCTCCATGCTTCAAGCAAGAATTTCTGGTGTTTACTACAGTTCTTGTCTCAAACACCTAGTTATCATTTAGACGGCAACATTGGCCGTCATTTTCTTCCTGTCAGCAGCGCAATGGTCGTGCGTTAAAAGAAGATGTGAATCCGCGTAAATCAGAGTTAATAGATAAGCCGAAGGTGGTTAATAAACAACGCTGTCACTATCGGCAGCATTCAACGGACAAACACGACCGCAAATGACCAAATCGCTTCACCAGTCATGACCTCGCAGGGTTAATAATGGTATATGCATCTGATCATATCAGATCACTGATATCATAATGACCGGGTGGTCAAACTTTGTAATATTCAAACACGGATCCTAGACACCAGGATAAACGACTGTTCTGAGCTCCAGTACAAAATGCACTGAGCGGACTTGCCTTAATTGGTTAGACGCGTGATAACGGGCATTAATACCCGTTGGCTCGTAATCGCGAATTTTCCAGATGTGCCATTGTGTTGGTTTTTTTCATGACAGTTCAAGCATTTATTGCTCCATGGTTCCATCAACTAGAAACGGTATGACCTTGTGGCCCCAATAAAGATGTACTACGCCCACTGATTGGTCGAGCTTCAGATGGCCTGCTTAATATTCATAAGCATTCATTGCGTGCACTTCGCGCCGCGATTCGCGCGTGCTTTTCACATTTTTTTTGGTCAACGTACGTATGTGAGCATTACGGTTTACACGCAAATCGATGAAATCTCGCAAAATTCATTTTTCAACCGGCGATTTGGACCAAAAATATTACAGGCTCCTGCACGTGTTTCACGTGTAAATGAAGCGTACACTATCCTCTACCTACTGAAACTTGCCATTTCTTTCGGTCTTTTTTAAGAATCGAATATACACCTATAAACAATCGGCCCTCGCTTTTGTTGCTATAAAATATGATTTTTGTTTGACGCGCCGTAACATAAACACTTCAATTTTGTCAAAAGGAATTATATTTGGTAGCACACGATTTTAACTTTTCACTAACATTGTCATCTTGGCCAATAGTGGTACATTCGTAGTTGTCTGTGTTTTTCTGTTGTCTCGAATGCAGTCTCGTAGGCCTTTCGGGCCGTGCGTGCGTGACTCCAAGCAAACAGGCTCTGCGCGCGACGGTGACACTGCCACTGACTGTTTCGGCGCAAGCAAAAAGTTGCGCCATTTCGTAAGGTTTCGTGAAATCGGCTGCAGCCAGCACAATAGAACACATGGAAGGGTTTTATTTTCAAGCTAAAAAAGCGGAAAATATGCTGTTAAAGTGCTGTTAATAGAAACGTCTGTTAAATTATAGAAAAATAATAATGACATGGGAAGATATTACCAACGGCGTCCTTCAGCCAAAGGGGGGGGGGGGGAGATTTGTCTGCCCCAACTCCGGTACGCATATTTTTTATATTTTTTTGGTATATATCGATTCCTTTAATGAAACAGCGTGTGTTAAGCTGCGTGGATGTACGGTGTAAGTGCCATTCGGATTCTAGTCTGAGTATCATCCAATATCCTCGGAGCCAAGTCTCTTGTACTGTTTAACGTCTGATATGTCAAAGCGTGCAGATTATGCGATCCCGCGCCTCAGCCAATTGGAGTAGCCTTTACTAAAGTGACGTCATTTCTTTCCAAAATCAGGACTAAAACTGTGATTGGTCAATTCGAATGCAGTGTTTTGTTATACAACAACAGCCTATATAGTCTGGTTCCCAGACCAAAGATTCTGACTATTCCTGATGAATCTTATGTCAGGTAACCTCCGGTAATACATTGTATTACAATTTACGTCACGTGACTAAAACGGGAGGAATTCCTCCTTTTTCCGGAAATGTCCGAAGTTTGCCGAATTCATTTCGTCGACAATCGGATAGCGCCCGAGTATTTCCGAGAATAATATATGTTTGATTAACCGCTAATTGCTTATTAAAAACTTTTTTAAATGAGTTGATAATTAATATTCATTACTTTCATTTACAAAAATCAAGTAGGCCTATACCCAGATCGTATGGGCGAACTTTTTGCTGCGTCATGTACTATTTTGAATTTGACGACCGTTACCGGTAGTGTAATTTTTTTTCCTAGGAGGGTTAGGGGCAATGTCATGAATAATTCAGTTTTTCCTTTGAATCATTGCAAGACTTAAGTTCTCGTTCTATTTCCCCTTAATTTAAAATGATCTCAGTGATAAATTTGGAGAAGAAAAATAGCTGATGAAAATGAGCAGCGACGACGTGGATTCGAACCAGGGATCTTTGTAATCCATAGCTCATCTCGCTATCCACTAGTCTACTGTGTGGTAGCTCAACGACAACCGTTCTTTAAAATGCTTTAATGTATTGTAACTAGTTGAGTAACTAACAACAATGCTGTTGATGCCATTGTCCGTTCTCATGGATAAACATGACTTATTCATGACATTGCCCCTAACCCTCCTAGGAATAAAAATTACGCTTACCGGTATACCGAGATTTTCCAAAACTCGGTCTTCATTCGGTCCGCCTGCTAACAGTGCTGTTTGGGTGCCTAATTTTGAAGATTCCAGATCAACATAAGTCAATGTTATCTTACAGAAATATCAAACTGTATTATCATAACTGTATGATATTACAAAGCAAGTGATTTATTAAAAATTTGTTCAGAACATTAAAAGCTATAAGTGATAAAGCGAAAGCTGAAACGAAGCCGAGATTTTAAAAAGGGTCATCAATGTCGTCATGTTTATTTTTAGCCACAGAGGCTGCCTGACCTACAATTTAGACGTGAGCGTCGGGAATAATTGTCAGGTCTGGGAACAAGACTAACAACACACAGCCTTTGCTGCTGTGTCTAGCGGTTTTTTTTATCCATGTCTAGACACGACAACGAGTGAATGACCAAAGACCCGACAAAGAAAGCGCCCGCTGATTGGTCAAAATATAGAGGTCAAGATGCGGCTGTCTTGCATTATTCATCAGCGAATCTGCTCAAATATAATATTTAACATAGACTAGTCGGATTCTGGGTGGTCAGGAAAACAGCACCAATAAAGACAACAAAAGCAACAACAACATCCAACAGCTAAAGCTAAAATCAAAATCAAAAGTAAAGAAACACCATGAAAACTTGAGACCGTGTTCTTATGAGACACTTCAAATGTGTCTACTAACCACATGTTCGAACTTTTAAATTTCTTGACCTTAGCAGCATGTCCACGGATACTGGCGGCGTGCATTACCACAGTAGAGTAATTGGCCTTCTTTGCCAAGAGTTCGTAAAACTTTGGCCCCCAGGGGAAAATGTTGGTGTCGAGCGGTTGAACGTTGACATGAACAGGTTGATCCACTCGAAGAAGAAAGTTCATCTGGTTCTGATCCGCCAATAGTCTTCCTATTTTAGCATTGTGTTTCATGGCATTAATCCAAGTGTTCACGAACAGGATTGTCACGTTTGTTGGCTTGAAATAAACAAACCCGGCACAGTACCACGTTTTTTCAGTTCGGTTTGGATAAGGAGATCTCGGATCGATCATAGACATGTCAAAGTCTCCCCGGAAGTAAGGAAAGGGATCTCGGAACCAAAACGAGTCGGCGTCAGTGAACAAAACTTCCAAGCCTTGCTCCAGTAAAGACAGAACATACTCTTGACGCTTATTGAAGAGTGCATAGTACGAGCGGCGATCGCTCCGCTTGATTTCCCGGCTCTGTGATTCTCCTGAGTTAGTCAACACCACATGCACTGCTGGGTCACCCTTGGCTCTCTCGCTCAGATACCGGTAACATTTCTGGTCTTCTGCAATGACGGTAGTATTCACACAGACTTTTGTTCGTTTGATACTTTCCAGCATGTTGAGAGTCATATCCATGAAGCCAAGGTTGGTTGTACTCAATATGACGACACCAGACCTATTCTTGACGTCAGCTAAGCTGCAGTTGGACAGAGGTCCACGTGTTTCGTTCACGCGCCCAGGCATCCATCCCGTTGCTTCTTCGCCGTGCAATTTACTCAGGTCGTTTTGTTGGCACTTGCAACCGCTAGGTTTGGGAATATCATCGGAATTCTGGGAGGAATCTACAATATTGAAATGGAATAGAAGTATTACAATGTGGCTGTATGTATACTAGGAGTGGGGCCCTAATCAGGCTCGACCGGTGGATTGGGTAACGATCTTCTCCACGGATATCTATGCAATTTGTTCGGAGCCCGATTTTCAAACTTGTAAACAAACATTTACACGAAGTTGATGTTATCTGCAAAGAAATCAACGTCATCTGTTTATGAAAGACAGTTACAATGGAATGAACAATTGCTGTTTTCGTTAAAACATTATTTTAATAACGTCCTTCGCGGTCCTGCACGCAATGCAGGAAGCAGGAAGAAATATATTTTTTGTATAGAAAGCAAGACCATACTGTATACGGGGACGTCTCTATAGTCCGAAGTCCCATTGGTCCGAAGTCCCATTGGTCCGAAGTCCCATTGGCCCGAAGTCCCATTGGCCCGAAGTCCCATTGGCCCGAAGTCCCATTGGTCCGAAGTCCCATTGGTCCGAAGTCCCATTGGCCCGAAGTCCCATTGGTCCGAAGTCCCATTGGTCCGAAGTCCCATTGGTCCGAAGTCCCAGTCCCATTGGCCCGAAGTCCCATTGGCCCGAAGTCCCATTGGTCCGAAGTCCCATTGGCCCGAAGTCCCATTGGCCCGAAGTCCCATTGGCCCGAAGTCCCATTGGTCCGAAGTCCCATTGGCCCGAAGTCCCATTGGCCCGAAGTCCCATTGGCCCGAAGTCCCATTGGTCCGAAGTCCCATTGGTCCGAAGTCCCATTGGCCCGAAGTCCCATTGGTCTGAAGTCCCATTGGTCCGAAGTCCCATTGGTCCGAAGTCCCATTGTTCCGAAGTCCCATTGCTCTATACGTTCCATTGCTATAAACGTCTCATTGGTCCGACGTCCCATTGGCCCGAAGTCCCATTACATGTAGTCCGAATGCCCATTGGTCCGACGCCCCGAAGGATTATGGTAAGGGTTATAGGTTAGGGTTAGGGTGATGGTCAGTCAACCTGAACTAGTGAAACTACACAGTATTATGTTTCATCGGACCAATGGGACTTCGGACCAATGGGACTTCGGACTAGACTATCGAGACTCAACCACTGTATACTTACTTATAATGAATGCGATGAAGGCAGCTGACTGCATGAAGAACAAAATCTTATAGATGTGGTCTACCGCGGCCATTTTGAATTCGCCTGCAGTTAGATTCACAACAACAAAAGTGACTGAAATTCCCAAAATATCTGGAGTCTAGCTGTCAATAAATATTTGGTTTATATTTGTTCTAGTAACTAATCAGTGATTGCTGAAGAGAGATCTCACTTTGCTTAGAAATTCAAAACGAGATTTTACTGTGCAGAGACATGTTAAGAAGCCAGAGTAGCTTCGAACAAGAAGTTCTGGCGTTTACTACAGTTCTTGTCTCGAACACCTAGTTATCATTTAGACATTGGCCGTCATTTTCTTCCTGCCAGCAGCGCAATCATGGGCGTCGCGAGGGGGGGCAAGGGGGGGCACTTGCCCCCGCCCCCTGGAAAAGCCAAAAAAAAAAAAAAAAAGGAAGAAAAAGAAAAGAAAAGAAAAGAAAAGAAAAAGAGGCGCGAAGACAAAGTGGTGTAAATTTAATGAGTTGGGGGGGGGGAATGTCCCTGCCCCCCTCTAAAACTGATAAATCGAGAATGTGTTGAGAAACACAAGCCTTTTTTGACAAAAAAAAATTGTTTGTCCCCCTCTAGAAAAAATCCTGGCGACGCCCATGAGCGCAATGGTTGTGCGTTAAAAGAAGATGTGAATATCCGGGTAAATCAGAGTTAATAGATAATCCAAAGGTGGTTAATAAACAACGCTGTCACTATCGGCAGCATTCCACGGACAAACAAACACGACCATTTATCAAGTCTGTTAAGGAGATGAAATGACCAAATGGCTTCACCAGTCACGACCTCGCAGGGTTAATAATGCATCTGATCATATCAGATCACTGATATCATAATGACCGGATGGTGAAACTTTGTAATATTAAAAACAGCACACTCCATGGTCGCGCTCAGGAAAACCCATAGTGTGGGTTTATAAATCGGTCGGTGGAATTTCGATACAAGTTGTAAAATAGAGATTTAGAAAGTCCATAGAAAAAACGTGTGGACTCGGACCTAAGCGACATTTTACTTCTCAAAAGCCTCGTCTGACATGATCATATTTTACGATGCAAGGGTTTCCGCTGTGTTTTTTCCCCCAAGCATTCACATTGGTCAGTGATCAGCCTATTACGTTCAAGCAATCCTAATCCGAAAGATCCCAATAATTATAATTTCAGTCATTGATTCATTCACACGTTATTTCTTATACCTTATAGGCCTACTTTATTTAGAATGTACGATTATTAATTATTCAGGCTATTGGTCCCTCGCATGACGCCTTGCCTGGTACAAAATACAATAAAGCATAAAATTTATGTCATAAATTATAGTAATATGTCGCGAATCATCAAGAAACCACGTGCATATATCCTAGTCGATACCTGACATTTTAAAATATCAACCGTTTACATCATTATGCTTACCAACGTGATTACGTCCGGTGTCGATTACCATGCATACAATGCTGAATCCTCTGTGTGTACCACACGGCTTGCACGCACAGGGTCTACGTGGTGTCTGTTTCAGGGTGACTACAGGTGACGTTACACGATAGGAGATGAACCAAACATGTCCATTTTCTCGATGATAGCTAGCTTGCGAAAATATAATTGCTCATCAACTTTAATTTATGCGCACGTGAACTAAATGAACAGTACAAAGTGCAAGATCAAGTACCATGCGTCAGTGTATACTAATGCAAATAAATGCTAAGTGTTTGCATTTATCGAGAATACATTTTCAAACACTTCGGGGTGCAGACCTCCAAATCGACTCCCATAGACCTCAGTGATAATTATTACGCCTTCTTCCGAAAATTATTAAAATTACCCACAACTCAACGTTCAATTATCTGAAAAGGGAAAATTTCATCCAATGACGATCACCCTGACAGAATAGACGGACTAAACCCGGCCTGACTCGAAGTCTGACTCGAAGGTGGTAAATAAGCGCCCTCTGTTGTTCACACGGGGAGCCCCTAGGGTAATAAACCGTTTTGGTCTGCATTTCATTGCCCACTCATCACTAGTCATCACTTATCAGTGCTACTTATAAGTCATCACTTAAGTGATGACTTATAAGTAGCACTGATGAGCTAATAATTAGACTAGTGATGAGTGGGCAATGAACCTGTCACCACATGTGTTGATGGGAGGTATTTTTTTGCAGTGAGAGAGCTCACAAAGACACTGTATGGCTGTTGGATTTGGCTGTTGCACCATGTTGCTGCATATCTCTATGTGCTGTAGGATGTAAAGTTAAAATATCCCATGATTCAATTACGGGACAGTTGATTAGGGACAAAAATGTCACCTGTCCCCCTCCTGTACATGAACTACCTGTATCAGGGTCTACCCGATGTTCCCCAATACCGATATGTTCCGCAAAATCCTTAGGATTAGGGTTAGGGTTAGGTTTGGGGAACATAGCGTCACCGACACCACTAAGTAACACTTCATGTGTTAAACCATTTTTCTTTCTTTCGATTTTCAGTTTTTACATTTTTAATGTCCATAGTTAAAGCATGGAGCTGTGGTTAAAGCACATGCGCAGTTGTTAGATGTGAGTTATAAATTGAAGTTATCGATATGCAGCTGTTAATCCCTGAAAGCGCTTTCTGTTCTTTGAAGATGAATTGATTTTTTCCCGATAAGATAGGCTAAATGGAAATGGGTCAACTCGTACCCGAGTTAACTCGTACCCAAGTCAACTCGTACCCCAAAATTGACACCCAAGTCAAGTCGTACCCGAGTTAGGTCGTACCCGAGTCAAGTCGTACCCCAGTCAACTCGTACCCGAGTCAAGTCGTACCCGAGTTGACTCGTACCCGAGTCAACTCGTACCCGCAGCTCAAAATAGTTGCCTATTTTCGAAAAGAAAATCAGTGAAACCATGTGTTTATAGCTCCATGGTGAAACGAACGGAAGATCGGAGGGATATGGTCGGTTGTCCGTGCACGGTGACATCGTTTGTGCCGAGCCTGTGCGCGCACTCGCTGGTCAACGTGGTCGTACCGTGCACAGTCTGTGACATCGTTTTTGCCGGGCCCGTGCGCGCACTCGCCGGTCCACGTGGTCGTCCGTGCACGGTGACATCGTTTTTGCCGGGCCTGTGCGCGCATTCATCGGCCAACGTGGTCGTACCGTGCACGGTGACATCGTTTTTGCCGGGCCTGTGCGCGCACTCATCGGCCAACGTGGTCGTACCGTGCACGGTGACATCGTTTTTGCCGAGCCTGTGCGCGCACTCATCGGCCGAAGTATGCATGCTTTTTTCAATTTATTTTATTTTTATATTACAGATGATCCTGTGGTTTTCCGATGAACCATTTTCTGCTGCTCAAACCGATCGATCGCATGGTCTGTCACACAGTTCATGATGAATCGAATCGGATGTCAAGTTTCGAGGACGAAACCCGATTAGCTCAGTTTTGTTTATAATAAAACTTTCTCTTGCTCTTGAATTACAATTGCTCATGTCAAACAATCTTTCACACCCAAGGATCAACTAACAAATTGGTCCCCTAAAACTTATAGAAAGAGCATCTCTGAATGAAACGAGCCATGATTTTCCTTTATCGTGTTTACTTCCTTGATGCCTCAAATGTAAACAAATAATTAAAAATCCTACATTTCTGTTACCAAAATAATATTCTAGTTGAACTTATCGCAGAAATTTTATTTAAGCTGCACAAGATTTTTTTTACGACATTTACCGAACTAACTGTTCAAAAAATGACCAACATATTAAAGAATCATTATAAATTAAATAACGATGTCCGTGTGACTCTTTTAAGTTTCCTGTAATATATTTTCTCTTCAGATTTGTACTGTCAGGGCCCCCAATCTTCCCAAAGAGATTTGTGCCATGTGCAGTTTTTATTCAATAAATGATGCCAAAAATGGAGTGAGTGAACGTTGAAAAATATTACTTTTACATTACAAAATTCATTTTTTAATAGCAGCTTTCTTTAAAAAAAAAAAAGGTCTTAAATACTAAATTCGTAAAAAGAAAACTATGCCCTTAAAACACGTTCGACCGAACAAAAAAAGACGTAGCAGTTTGCCCAGTCACTCCGCAATCTCAGTGATCCAGGGTCTCTGAAAAAAGAAAGAAAAAACATCATTACTAAGAGAAAATACTACACAAATTTTAAAATAACACATCTGATGATCTGGATGAAAAGTGAAATTTACCGTTTATCAGCGAGGGCTCCGTCGACTCGCGAGTACCACACTGATGCCGTTTTGAAAATGTTCTCCGCGCGGTACCCGTCCGTTCGCGATGAAGCCCTTGCCGATGAATGGTACATTTTCCCTTTTCATCCAGATTGTGATCAACATTTGATACCACCGCCAAATCCTTGAACTTTATTTGTATTTCTGGCGGCGTAACTACTATTTCTCAGTTGCCGTTTTTGAGGGTAAAATCGGAAGTTATGTTAACCATCCATCCGTACTTCCAAACTAAAAAAGGGGGGTACGAGTTGACCTGGGTGCGAGTTGACCCGGGTACGAGTTGACTCGGGTACGAGTTAACCTGGGTACGAGTTAACCCGGGTACGAGTTTACTTGGGTACGAGTTTACTTGGGTACGAGTTGACTCGGGTACGAGTTGACTCGAGTACGAGTTGACTCGGGTACGAGTTAACTCGGGTACGAGTTGACCCAAAATCGAAATAAAAACAAAAACATATTAAGCGTCCTGCCTTTTAGAAAAAAAAAGGGAGGGCCTTTTTTTTTTCTCCTCCAAAATGGCCGCCCGTCCGATCATGGAGAAAGTGTTTTATTTCTCCATGGTCCGATCTATTTTTCAAGATGGCCGCCAGCTTTGTTTTTAAATGGCCGTCACTTGGACTTGGACTCAGGAAATGACATACAAGCTTTATATGGGCTAGATGCAACGCAACATAGCCCCATTAATGTGGCCAATTTACTGGATTACCTCCGTAAAGAAAGGCCATACTTGGAACATGTACCCGAACATGTAGAATTTACTAGACTACCTCCGTAAATAAAGGCTATACTTGGAACATGTACCCGAACTTGTAGAACTTTGTCAAATTTAAATTTTCACATTTAGGCTTTGTTTGTAGTTTATTTTTGCTTTGGAAGCACATTGACTCTAATTATACTATAGAAAAAAGTGCTGCGTTTGTCAGACGTTTATTTTTTGTGTAATTTCCAGATTCGTGTGCACACAATTGCGTATCAAAATTTCAACATGAAATTACATGCAAAATAGACTTCTGAAAAAGGCAGCACTTTTTTAAGAGGGCGAGTATGCTTCTAATTCTAGTTCTTAAGCAAAAATAAACTACAAACAAAACCTAAATGTGAAAATCAAAATTTGACAAAGTTCTACATATTCGGGTACATGTTCGAAGTGTGGCCTTTATTTACGGAGGTAGTCCAGTAAATGGCCACATTTATGGGGCTACACTGTAAAAAAAAAAAAAAAAAGGTCGGATAAAACACTGTTGGGCAATGTAATTTACCCAGAATTGGTATGAAATTATTTCATATTGGGATGAATTGGGTCAAACTGTCAATCTATTGGGAAGAATTTGTCTTAGAGTGTAGGCAGTTGATAATTCGACCAACGTTGGTCGAATTATCAACCCATTTTGCCCAACCTTTTAACAGTGTAGAAGCAACAGAAAAAGAGGTCAAAATGACGTCACTGTTTCTAAAATTTATCATTTTTTTCTGTAAAAAAATAAAGGAGGCACCCTTCAAAAAAGAAAGGGGCGAGGACGCTGAATATGTTGTTTTTTATTTGGCCTTATCATGTCTTTTCGAAATTTTGATTGGCAAAACATCATTTATGAAATATGATATTTTGGGAAATTTGTTAAGTTTTCTCACTAAAATGTATGGAGCATTTTGTTGTCTTGAAATGATCGTTTCAGTTATGTTGACCACATTGTTACCAAGTATTAGCCAACTCCGAACAAACGCTCTCAAAATCATTATTGGCGATGTATGACAACTACGCAGAGTTGTAACGAGTCACTGATTTTTGTGACTCGAGTCGAGTCATTTTAAAGAAGTGACTCGAGTTGAGTCGAGTCATTAGGTCCAAAGGTCGAGTCGAGTCGAGTCGAGTCAAACATTTAGCTCGAGTCAATTCGAGTCGCGAATATTTGAACACTATATACCAACATTTATAAAAGGAGGCCATAAGTTTAGCCAGCGTTCGAATCCAAGAGCTTTATAAGAAATCGCCCAAAGCCAACGATGAAACAGCGAATTAGAAATTTGTTTAAAAATCTGGTTCCTAGATAGCATTTTGTGCGTTCTAGAACCATGAGGTGGGAGTCTGTGACACGTTATATGTGTACATGACTGCTATTCGCAAATCGAAGTGAGCACAAATTTTGCACCATAAGTCATAGCAAATACTTTTCGCAAAGTTGTGCTTTTATTTTTGAGACTCGAGTCTTATTAGCATTCGCTCGAGTCGAGTCGAGTCTTTTGATGAGGGACTCGAGTCCAGTCGAGTCATTAGCACGCAGTGACTCGAGTCGAGTCAAGTCATTTACCCTTAGGGACTCGAGTCGAGTCGAGTCACTAAAAATTGTGACTCAAGTCGGACTCGAGTCGAGTCATTGACTCAAGTCATTACAACTCTGCAACTACGCATGCATATTGCCATGGTGCTATCCTCAAAGCAACGCAAGTTATTTCTTCTAGCATTAGTGGGCACTAGCCTTTATAGCTTAGTGAGCAACTGAGCAAGTTGGCCGCCAGGTGCTTTCTATTGTTGCTTACTAGAGTTGTTACTCGTTCTGTGTCCTTTCTCTATGGTCATCCCAAGCTTACTTCTCAACACAGCTAGACTAGGTCAGAGTCTCAGTCATAGAATCAGAGTAGACAATCGTTTACAAGGAAATTATTTAAAACAGGCTATTTCAAACAGCACAGCGTCAGCATGTACAAGAATGGTTCAATGTTGCATTCTTTTGCACTGGCATTCTTGTCATCAAGACATCACTACATTATCATTGAGGCAACAGCTAAAACAGTCTGTTCAGAATATCAATGTAGCAGCCGACAACTCAAAACCTTGTAATTATTATTCCAATGCCTTTTCAGAATGCTAATAATTTATTACATGGTCCTAACAGGGACTTTATTCTACTTGTGCAAAAAAAGGTTATACGCCAAGTCAATTTTTGGGCTCTCAATGGAAGGACATTGGCTGGCAGTATCATGAAAGCATGTACATGTATGTTGGAGCTGCTTTGCTTAAAGTGCCTTACAGGAAATCTACAAGACGTTTGTGTTATTGGGCAGACTAAACTTTTTTGTTTTAATTGGCGATTTATAAGTGCATTTTAGTTTTGTTTATAAGTGTGGAAAAAAGTATCGGTAGGTTTCTCACATAAAGGCCTAAGTAGACATTTTATAAAGCGATTGTCCACCACTTTATTAAGACACACACACTTGTATTGTGAAAGACAAAATAATACCCATTCTGTAATACATCTGGAGGTATCTCAACTTAAAGCAGAAGTATAACATATATAGACATTTTATATAGCCATTGTCTTCCGCCTTGACAATTACATATAGCATTAAAATTCCTCTAGCTCGCCTACCAACTCGGAAATAATAATTAAAAAAAAAACGTTTTGTGAAAAAATCCTTAAGAAAACATTTTTGTGGGATGGTTAAAAAATCTGAAATTTCATTGGAAAAGTTTTAAAAATCTGATTTCAGATTAAAATCTGAAAAGTTTCATCTCTGACATTTTACCAATGGCGTCCTCAAGCCAAAGGGGGGAGACATGTCTTGCCCCTTCCCCAGTACGCCTTTTTTGGCATGTATCGATCCTTTCATGAAACAGCATTTGTTTAGCTGCGTGGATGGAGGTGTAAGTGCCAGTCGGATTCTAGGGTGTCATGAAAACGGCACCAATAAAGACAACAAAAGCAACAACAATGTCCATGTCTAGACGCGACAACGAGTGAATGACCAAAGACCCGACAAAGAAAGCGCCCGCTGATTGGTCAAAATCTAGAAGTCAAGATGTGGCTGTCTTGCATAATTCATCAGCGAATCTGCTCAAATATAATATATAACATAGATTAGTCGAATTCTGGGTGGTCAGGAAAACAGCACCAATAAAGACAACAAAAGCAACAACAACATCCAACAGCTAAAGCTAAAGTCAAAATCAAAAGTAAAGAAACACCATGAAATCTTGAGACCATGTTCTTATGAGACACTTCAAATGTATCTACTAACCACATGTTGGAACTTTTAAATTTCTTGACCTTCGCGGCATGTCCATGGATACTGGCGGCGTGCATTACCACAGTAGAGTAATTGGCCTTCTTTGCCAAGAGTTCGTAAAACTTTGGCCCCCAGGGGAAAATGTTTGTGTCGAGCGGTTGAACGTTGACATGAACAGGTTGATCTGCTCGAAGAAGAAAGTTCATCTGGTCCTGATCCGCCAATAGTCTTCCTATTTTATCATTGTGTTTTATGGCATTAATCCAAGTGTTAACAAACAGGACTGTCACGTTTGTTGGCTTGAAATAAACAAACCCGGCACAGTAGTGCGATTTTTCAGTTCGGTTTGGATAAGGGGATCTTGGATCGATCATAGACATGTCAAAGTCTCCCCGGAAGTAAGGAAAGGGATCTCGGAACCAAAACGTGTCGGCGTCGGTGAACAAAACTTCCAAGCCTTGCTCCAGTAAAGACAGAACATACTCCTGACGCTTATTGAAGAGTGCATAGTATGAGCGGCGACTGCTCCGCATAAGTTCCTCGCTCTGTGATTCTCCTGAGTTAGTCAACACCACATGCACTGCTGGGTCACCCTCGGCTCTTTCGCTCAGATACCGGTAACATTTCTGGTCTTCTGCAATGACGGTAGTATTCACACAGACTTTTGTTAGTTTGATACTTTTCAGCATGTTGAGAGTCATATCCATGAAGCCAAGGTTGGTTGTAGTCAACATGACGACACCAGACCTATTCCTGACGTCAGCTAAGCTGCAGTTAGACAGAGGCCCACGTTTCTCATTTCTTTGATGTGTACTTTTATCAGAAATCTTTGAGGTCAATGGTGCGTGAATGGTGTTATAGCCCCGAAAGAAATCTGCCAAAAGATATAAAAAGCGTTTGATCAAAATGATGATGCATGGTGTTCAGTTTCCAGTTACATTTAAGGATACAGTTATCATTAGAGTTGAGGTTATGGGGTAGAGGGCAATCAAGTTGAACAAAGAAATTGGCAGGAGCGGGATTTCAACCTCGACCTCTTAAATAGGAACATATAATGACGTGCGTACCGAAGACATATATATGCGAATTGGACAAAGTTGGCTATTGAATCACCAATTTGTGTTGTTACTTCATAGGGCACACTATTGGCCATGTAAATCTCCCATCAAAATATTGAAATAAAATGCAAGTCTGGTGAAATGATCACACAAAATGGTGATTTGATAGGCCAGTTTTTCCGTTCCGTATTTTAAGCATCCCTTTATACACATACATGTACCATTCCTGGTCCCTAAATACATGTATGCCTATATAAGGGAAATGAATCGGCTTGGAGAAAGTTGCCTGTTGAATCACCATTTTGCTTGGTTATTTTATCCTGCACATTATCGGCAATGTGCATTTCACATTGAATTACTGAGATGAAGATGCGTTGGTCTAGTGAATTTATCACACAAATTGGTGATCTAACTGAACAGGCCATTTTTGTACTATCCATATCAGTCTCCCTGTTGAGTGGACGGGCACAACCCGACCACTGTCTGGATTTGTTCTCATAAATCTTCTTTCTTTCTTTTTTTTCTGTACGGCACGTTTCCGCGGGTTTTCTTCTAAACCGTTTATGGTATGAACTGTAACTTTCAATATATATCGACCCTCATCCGAAGTGGTGCATATTACTCTGACGTCATGATTACGTCATCAGGTGTCAAATTACAAGTGATTTTATCTGAAAAAGTGACCAATTACTTTCACCTATAACTCTTGAACTAAACAATCAATGATGTTTGTATTCTGTAATCAGATAGACCATTAATCGCTAAACAGTTTTTGTAGTGTACGTGAACTCGATTGACCTTTACTTCCGGGTCTACTGGAAGGTCAAAGTTAGGTGAATTCAAAAGGAAGACGTTAGCCTGACATCAAAACAAAGCAGCATTTCTTCCGAACGGTTCACGGTATTATCACAAAACCTTGTGTGAACTTGTACCATGTTACGAAGATGTTGTACATTTTGTTACGTCATCATGACGTCATCAGGTATCAAATTACAAGCGATTTAAGGGCAAACTTTGACAAAATAGTTTGCGTTATATCTTTTGAACTAAATAGAGTATCGTGTTCGTTTTTTCGTGAGGTTGTAGACTATGCCGTGAGAAACATTTCGTGTTCCCGGACGCAAAACCGCTTGACCTTTGCTTCCGGTGTTACCGGAAGTGCAAATGAAAACTGAATATAACGCCAAAGCGGAAGCATTTTACTACAGACACATTTTATGAAAGTGTTTAGTGTGGAATGCCAGACACAAAAACAGTGTGATGACGTCATCATCCGAAAGGGCGCCCCCTAGCGGCACACAAAATATTGTTTCTTTTCTTTACCAGTTTACTTTTAAAACCATAGGTTCAAATTTTACCAAATCGACCCTTGATATTCTTTGATTAACCACAGATAACTTGGCAAGGTTTCAAATTCATGACGTCATCAGACCGGAAGGTACTTTTATGAGAATTTGCCAACGATCTATTTTAAATTTAATTCTATCATTTGATCCATATCGTATAGGCTTAAAGCCCAAATAACGATACCATTACAATGTTCACCTTTTGCTTCCAAAAACTGTGACGTCATCAAACCAGAAGTTTGGTGTTTTGAATACATACACTTATATTCTCCATATTTTCATACGTTATTTAACTTCACAATGAACATCCACTCTGAACTAAATCAGTATTCACTTCCCGTTTTTGACTAATGACGTTATACGTGATATATCATGGAATGATTACTGAAATTTAATTGATTGTCCTGGAAAGGATTTAATTTCCTGATACTTTGTTCTTACATAAAAATATTCATAACTTAACTGGACAGTGTTTCATGAAATAGTTGTCTACCCGACACTCTGCGTTTGTAATAGCAAACGCAAACCTCTAGTTTTATTTGTTTTGTTGAAATTAAATCATTAAAAATGTGTTCTTACATATGATACACACGATGAAGACGGCTGATTGCGTGAAGATCAGGATCTTAAAATACTACCCTTGTTGGCCATCATGCGAAATCTGAAATGATGAATGGAAATGAACTTGCAGTATTGGTCATTAGTAAGGCAGTGTGCTGGAACCAGTGGCGGCACCTGACTCTAAAAAAAAAAAAAATGGGGGGGGGGGAGGGCAATCGGAGGGCAAGGAAATGCTTTTGGGGGAAGTCAAAATAAAATCTGATGATATCCAAAATCTAAGGGAAAGGTAAGGAAGAGCCCAATAACCATGACAACTAAAAGCCTGTGTACGTGCGAGCGTACCCATTGTCAATGGTCTGGAAATAAGCCACTACAGCTACTTAGAAGTGTAGTCGTTTTTATGAATGAGAAGTGTATCAACCTGCAGAATGGTGTAGGCCTGTAAAGTACAAAAGTATAACAAATGTACATGTACAAAGAAGTTGGCTGCACACCGAATGGAACTAAACTTGCAGTAGGCCTACTGATTATAGTGGATAACAGTGTATTGGGACCAGTGGCGGCACTTGTTTTTGGGGGGGGGGAACAATTTGAGGTTTTTTTGGCAGCAAAGAAAATAAACATAATTAATCTATTTATAGATAAAAAGTGTGAGGGGGGCAAGGAAACAACTTCCGGGGGAGACACATTTCTTGCCCCCCCCCCCCCCCCCCCCCCCCCCCCGGTTCTCTAATCCTATTTAGAAAATTGGGTCACCAAATGAACAGCGCCCTCAGGCTTACATTTTCTCTTTAAGTTAGTCTACGGTGGCTGATTTCCGCCGAAGATACATTTTTCATTATATCGTCTTGTAACGCAGTTATACAGCGTTATAATGGGCTGGGTGTTATATTAACGCCCTTAATCATGTTAATTTACTGCATTATTTCAGGCATTTTATTGCGGGAATTAATTTAGGGCGTTATAACGTCGTATAGTAGGGCGTTGTAATGATTAGGGCGTCATAACGCCATAACAGGGCGTTTTATAATATAACGTTATTCTTGGCGGAAATCAGCCATGTCACTTGTCAGCCACCTTATTAATTAATCTTGCGCAAACTGCAAAATAAGTTGCAATCAAATAGCTTGAGTAACTCCAGCTGACATGCTCATATTCATTTTCACGTGCTACATGCATGACATGTGAATGAATCATGTCAGCTGGAGTTACTCAAGCTATGCATGCATACCTCAGAATTGAAATTTTCGTTTTTCGATAACGTTAATTTTGATGGTTGATGATCCCTCTACCGTGCACATGACTGATTAGGCCTATGTAACCAGGTCGGGTTGCAGTACTTACTTTTCCCCGACTGGTTCCTTACTCCAGCATTATTTCATAACTTTTGTAATAGCGTGTTTGTGTCGATTCACATGTGAGCAGCCATTGCAATCATGCTTTTTGCCTAGGGCCCTCTCGCGGCCAACTAAACTATTTTTTTTACAGCGCGCGCCGCCTAGAATTTTGCTCAACTATGCGATGGGCGTAGCGAGCATGCGAGTTTTGCATTCCACCGCGCTTTGTTTAAGAGGAATAGTTGACATTCCGGGCGTTTCGGTATATTTTTCTTGTAGGGCTAGGTCCAAAATATTGTTGATTCCGTTCCAACTCTGCTTTGGGTTGACATCTATCTGCCTGGTTCTGCTCCTGCTTTGCGACCAGCATTTACAGCGAGCATTGCACACTCCACTTTTTCTGCAAGTTTGGGTGCGGCTCCCCGATAGCAGCAATATAATTTTATATCCGGCGTTGCCGGCATTGCATTTTACAATATTGTTGCTGCTTCTACATCGATTTTAACATCGGACACGGAGTAGGCATGAGCGTAGACCATCCCAAGTGATACCATCCTTGGAGTGACAGTTCACCACCCTATTGTCCCTTTTTGACTGTCGTTTTTATAGACCCAACAGAGTTCTGTTTTTATATACTCACCAAAGTTCCTAATATAATTCTTTTTGTATATACTGTACTTGATCATTTGTATATAAAATTATTGTCTCAAATTTGTATTATAAATAAAACATTTCATATTATTGAGACTACAGAAAACATTCGCTCTACCCAAATCATTTTTTTTTAGTGAAACCCCTCGGTTAAAAGGAGAGTGCCACATTTGTAACTAATAAATTCCGCTCTCCCCGGTTACACCTACATGATGTGATAATGACTGATAATGTTTGCGAAGTGCAGTGGAAATAGTCTCGTACTGATCATCAAATAATTTGTATGCGCTTCATGTGATTAAAATCACGCCCTCTTGTGGTGGCAAGATTGAGTCATTAATCGCGCCATGTTATATTGATGACGTACGCGACAACAACAACCACAGATTATCGGTTCAGCGCACAGAATTCCAATCATTTGTATTCATATTTTATCACAAAGCAAGGAAACCGAGGAAACGTGGTAAAAAGTGCGGACCCATTGCGTTGATAGATATTTTTCGGATTCCGAGATCAACACAACAGACCATCAGTGGCAAGTAATATTAATAAAGTATTGTCTGATTGTTGTGCCCATTCTTGAAAATCACGCATTCTCGAGAATGGGCATGCACATTCTTGAGAATGTGCAACTGGATCCTTGCTCAATCTTGGCAAAAAATAACTCTTCCAGATTGAGCGCACATTCTTGAAAATGCGCGACAAGATAACGGTCTTGTCGATGCCGAGCACCGGCTGCGCTTGGCAAGTCTAGCTGAATCCTCGTTCACTGATTCTCAATAATTATACTGTTGCAACGCAAGGCGCTGAAAAGTAGAGTGGATATGATAAGTAAAGGCGTATTGATATGGGGGGGGGGGACACCGGGAAAATATAAGAGACATAATAATACTAGTGCAAAGAATTCTGATTTTTGGGATAATAAAAGCGGGGGGGGGGGGGGGGGGGGCTGTAAGAATGAAGAATGTGAAGAATGAGAATGAATACTGCGACATCCCATAGTGCTAATGCTATTTCCCATTTAAATTGCCACCAATTTATTGTTCCCATCCCACCATAACGTCGCAGAGCTGGATTCTATCTAGTCAAAAGAGCAATTTTGGCAGCTTCTGGACATCGTTTTTTTTCGTGGCACGCATATGATACATGCAGGACTTGTAACTTGTCTAGCCTAAACAAAGCACTTCCCAGACTAGTTCCCAGTTCTCCGTTATTACAAAACTTCCCATAGTGGGCAGAAAAAAAGCAATAATAACAGGTTTAATTTTATTCAAATTATCGTAGTTATACGAGTACAGAAGCATAGCACATTTTCTTTCCTCTTTATATGAATTGTGTCCCTTTTAACCGCTATACAATTCATTTAACATAATTACGTCGTGCAATGTTTGTTAAGATTGGGCAAAATTCATAAATTGTGCACGTGATATTCCCACCCAATCTTAAGAATGAGCGCTCATTCTTAAGAACGCGTGCTCGTTCTTAAGAATGGGCGCTCATTCTTAAGAATGCGCGCCCATTCTCGAGAATGTGCATGCCCATTCTCGAGAATGCGTGATTTTCAAGAATGGGCACAACAGTATGAACTTAGGCCTAGGCCTACTTGATTTCAGTATGAACTTAGTCCGAGTAACTTGGACCCAACTTATCGCCTTTTTAACTTTCGGACATGGTCTGGCGATAGTGGGGTCCAAGCTAATACTGCGAGCTGGACAACACAATTCTGTCACTGTCCCAAAAACATCAAAAACCAACATTTTCCAACAAAAACATTAGATTTCACCCTGAAAACGGCCTCCAAATTACTAAATACGCCACCTGAGGTACAACTACAAGTAGACATATCGATAAGTAAGATAGTTGTACTGAAGTTCACTTACGATCCGGATGAAAAGTGAAATTTCCCGTTCACTTCCGAGAGCTCCCCTTACGCCCTCGCGGTCTTGAACACGTTTAATTTCCGACTCATGTTAATGTTTAATGTTTGAACGACGCGATTTGGTCTTCATGCCCAGCGTATATTCGATGGTCCCCGTAAAGACCAAATCGCGTCGTTCAAACATTAACGAGTCGGAAATTTAACGTGTTCAAGATCGCGAGGGGAGCTCTCGGAATTGAACAGGAAATTTCACTTTTCATCCGGATCGTATATACTTCAGTTCAACTATCTTAATTATTGATGTCTACTTGTACTTCAGGTGGCGTATTTTGTAATTTTAAAATTATTTTTGGTGAAGAACTGCTAATTGGAAGGGCATAGAAATTTCAACAAATTCAATATTTGTTGCTTGGTTCAAAGCTGAATTTGTTGAACTTGCTTATAAAGAAGGGGTCTTTTCCCACTAACTGGGGCGCTAGAACTCCTTTTTGACATTTGGGACGTTAGCCTGTCATTCTGGCGTCCCACTAAGGAAGAATTCTCAATGTTTCAATTTCCAAAGTTCACCACAAAAGTTGCCAAAACTCACTCAAAATACTTTATAAAAATACTTTTGAAAGCACCTACTGGCTTGTCCACATGTCACAAATCCATGTGATTCAATATTTGAACCATAATAAAACTTCATGTGGAAATCTTGTGAAAAATGTTAGTGTCATGAAATAAAGTCTGAAAATACATTCACAAAAAGTGGTTCACTTTTGTGTGAGTACACTAGTTTCCTGTCCCTACCTTGTCTGATTGAACTGGAGATTTATGACAGTGGCTGTTTTATAACGCACAATAATTTCAATTCCCTTGAAAAAGTCATAAATTAAAATCGGGTTTATGTAGTAATCTCACTAAATAATATACATGTATGCGTTGTGTTCTACTAGCTGAAACATAACAATGTTAAATTTGGAACTATCTGTTATCTAGATTTGATTTTGAGTGTCAGTGAAACCGGAAAATTTGGGAAAATTCATGGATGTGTCATGAGGTTTCAGTATTAACAGGATTAGCCAACATAAAAATGTGTCTTTTATTTTGGTTTTTACTGCAGAACATATATTATTAAATGAAAGTGATTTCAACAAGTGACAAAGCCTGTGACCTGAAGCAATTCAACATCACACGGTACTTAGTCAGCAGCAACTAACGACAGCAACTCACATTCTGCTGCAAGCAGCAAGAGACTCTGCAGCTTTTTTTGAACCTCTATGCACCACAGCTAATTGAACAATGAAAATTGACATCCATAATCACATTCTGCCTGAGAGGTGGCCCGACCTTAAAGAGGTGAGTACTGTTGGCACATGTTGTCTCAGTTATTTCTCTTTGTCAAATACAATCGAGGCCCTCCTCCAACCAATCTCCCTAACAAACAAGATACAGCTAGCGTTGTTCTCGTTCCCAGAGGATTGATTAAGAGTTCTACCAAGCACTTTATGAAACTGTTCTGTCAGTGTTTCCTGTTGAATATTTATGGTCATCTGAAGAGTGGTATGACATACATGTAGGGCTGGGACAGAGATCTGGCTGCCTGATAACATACGCAACCAAGAAATGGCAGCTACATGTACCTTGTCCCATTTTTCAGTTTTATAACCAGAAACCATCTTGTCTGATGCAAAGACAACCTTTCTGAGAGGGCAACTACATTTTATTGATTGCTTCTTGTTTAAAATGTATACAAGCTGCAAGAGAAACTTCAATTTCTCATCAATCCAGTTGCTTACAGGTTCCATTAGAAGCCATTTGGTGGTTTAATATTTGAATTTAGCAATCTTAGGGGCAGTGTGTGCCACTGTGCCGAAACAAATGGACCAACTTAAGTATGATCATGGAGGAATAAGAACTTCCTCCATTGTATGATACACTATATGTTTTGTACCTGCAGCCCAGTAACACAGATAATCTTATTGTTCATTTGTCTTGTGTAGCGATATGGTTATGGTGGTTGGATCCAGATGTACCCACACTGTGAGGGCAAATCACGCATGATGAGAGATGGTAAACTGTTCCGCATCATTGAGCACAATTGTTACAACCCTGAAGAGAGGTTACGAGAAATGGATGCCACAGGTAAAAAAGAACTTTTTTATACAAGGTGTTGTGTGTTATTACAGGATTATACTGATCATGCACTGCTATTAAGCGGGCCATTCTGTGTATTGGGTCATCTAGAGCTTTGCATTTCTGTGAATGATAAAGTAGCCTGAAACTATTACCCCACAGGTTCTACTTGTACATGTATGTACAATTGTTAGGATATTGCTGGCAGTACCTTTGCAGATATCTCATCAGACATGAATAAATTTTAAAATGCTTCATTTTTGTGTCGCCTAAACAAAGTTTTGGGAGACACTAACCAGTCCTAAATTCTGTATGACCGTATGACCATGGACCTGCATGTATGTTAAAGTTTTGGTTCAGTTTTTAGAAAATGTATAAGTTCTACGTGCTTTCTTGGATTTTGATGAAACTTGGATGTAGTGACCCTTGGGTGGAAAGACACAATTCTTCATCGGATTACTGAGGTCAAAGGTCATGTAGGGGTCATTAGAGGTCATTGTTCAAACACAGAATTTGATGGATTTTAATCAGGGGTGTGATTTGTCCGGATTTTTCCGGATTTCCGAATTTTAGTCAAACATCTGCGGAATTTTATGCGGATTCCGGATTTTGAACGTTTTCTGTTTCTGTAATATCGCCCGAAAACTTTTGGCAAAATATCGGCCCTAATTTACGATAATTATCGGCCCTAATTTACTGATAGACATCAATGCAGTGTGGGCAGTGGAGTACTTGAGCACCAGACTAAAAATAATTCTCAATAGGTTTGCCCCTTGTGTTTGTATATCGCGTGTGGATGTGCGTGTATTGTGCATGTATTGTGCAGTGACGATCATGAGCTAGCAATTCGCAAACACATTGGTGTCCATATTGCCGCGATGAGACCCATCAGCAGTGCGAGATTTTGATGAAGGAATTTAAAAATATGGCTGGAAGAACTGGTAATAAAGTGTCACTGTGGATGGAAATCAGTTTGAGCTGCAGTACATGTAGTGCTTTGAAAAATAGCCACCACCAACACAAAAATGTTTTTGGAGACCTGGGAGTTTATGGTAAGATTAGTAACTTAGCACCGTTGATATTTTGTTGAATCGTTTCTTTCTCTCTGCAAAAGTGCAAACATGCAAAAGTAATAACATCACACACAGAAAAAGACATTATTGAATCAATCACGTATGGATTATATTATTTAATGACCAGACATGTTTTTCCTCATTTTTCCCCCATTTGTTTTCTTTACTGAAGCGACAAAATTTGCAAACATTACACTACAGAAATTACGGTACATAAAATGTACATGCCCTATATACGGACATACATGCATTACATGCTAATACATGTACCTGGTACATCTATACATCATTACATGTAAATGTACAATAATACATGTACATGTATACATGTCAACCGAAGTTCGTGGAATTTTCATTTTTGTCCAATCTCACCCCTGTTTAATGTCACCTGGATGGAGTGATCCTTGGGTGGATCCGAAATTGGATGTCAAGGTCATCTAGGGGTCATTTGAGGTCTTTGTTTAAAAATACACAAAATTTGACTTTTTTAAGAACACAAAACATGGGGATAGACCTTGGAATAAGTCGACGCTTGTTATCCGCGGATCACTTGTTTTAAATTCATTTGTTTTTCTTCCATTGATGTCATCCACCAGTTTCAGTAATTGTCCGGCACTGCAGCAGTGCAGCTTGTATGCACTTCACCAGTGTTTTCCCACTTTACTCTGTTTCTGTTGAGATGCAGGGCTAGCAACAAATTCTCATTTGATGTGAGATTCGCATGAAAGGGGCATTCTTCCTTTTCACACACTTGAAACTTATACATTGTAGCCTGCAGGAAACCTGCATGCGCATAGAGCAACGTTCCCACGAGGAAACACCTGGCATTCCCGGGCTGTTCCCGGCGGGAACAGCACATGTTCCAGCCGGGAACGGCACATGTTCCCAATTGGAACAGGCGATGTTGCCGGTGTTCCCTGTTGGGACGTTCCAGGCGCTCCGACTTTTGAGACATTCCCTACAATGCAAACATTTTTCCTCCAAACTGATTTATTCAATAACTTATTATCTTCTTGGCTAAAAAATAGAAGGCAGATCGGATTGGATGCAAGACCAAATTGTTTTTCATGCCAACAGGAAAAGTCTTTATTCCCAAACCTAACCGGCCTTTTCTCTATGACCAGTTAAAAAGTGTTCTATTTTTTTAAATATCTCTTTTGAAATATCTTGCCAACAGGTGTTACAGTGCAGGCGTTGTCCACAGTGCCAGTGATGTTCAGCTACTGGGCTAAACCGGAAGATACTCTCGATCTCTGTCACATTTTGAATGACGATTTGGCTAAAACCATCCAGAAATACCCCAAACGCTTTGTTGGCTTGGGAACGCTCCCCATGCAGGCACCGGAACTAGCAGTGCAAGAATTGAAGAGATGCCGAAAGGTATAATTATGGGCTTCCTGGCTTCGTGCTAAAATAGTTTCCATATCAACCATATGATTTGCTGAGAATTTGACAAGCCTCTATGTAAGTTTTTCGCCACACTTGCTTACTACAGGGAACATCAGCAAATACTAGAAATCACAGTTTCATAAAGTTAGTTTAGGTCGGACCTTTGATTAAAACAGATTAAGCAAAGAAACTGGTTAGAAGAAAAGGTGTGTATGTGTGTTCACAAGTTGATGACCGCAAATGTGTGTGTGTGTTCACGAGTTGCTTGACTGCAAGACAGGCGGTAAAGCCCCCTCCCCTGCATAGCGAGCGAGGGAAAGCCTCGTCTCAGATATCGGGCAAAAATGTCAGAGTCCACTTACATCCGTGCTATAACATAGTCATTAACCCTTACCCAACTGGACCCTCCAACGCATGCCATTATGTGCCTTAAGAAAATGGCATATGTTTTTTGCACGGCCCTCCAATATCTGCCATGTCATTTCAAGGGTAACTGGACAGGCACTCCAATACATGCCACAGAGAACAATGAGAGTCCTCTGATAACAAAGTGAGTGCCCCCAGCTGGTCAGTATCAGGCACCCTCCAGGGCCTCCAACTCCTGCCAATTGGAGCCTTCACTGTTAAGACAAACTATCTGCCAATAAACTGCAGCTGGAGGGCATTGGCATAACCAACTGACATGCAGTAAACTACCCTCAGAGAGTAAGGGTTAACGACACTGTAAATATTGCTGATTGGTCATGATCTCCTTTGTGTAGGAGCTGGGCTTCCCTGGTGTGCAGATTGGCTCCCACATCAATGATTGGAACTTGGATGCTCCTGAACTACAGCAAGTCTTTGCAGTAAGCACGATTATTACTTTTTTACAATTATTAATATTTTTCCTAACAAAATCCATTTTTGTCCACTTAGGGCACGGATCCTACACAGAAGGATGAACGACTGTTCTAAGCTCTAGTACAAAATGCACTTTTTACGGATTTACCTTAATTGGTTGGATGCGTGATAACGAGCCTTAATATCCATTGGCATGTTAATCACAAACAGCTGGCGCCCTACATGAAATCTCGTTAAAACCCGACAGATCTTGCGACGGTCCTTGGGCACATTGCAATAAAAAGATTGTTACATAAGTCACTGTTTTGAGTTGGGTACAGTACATAATTTCTTAAGGCTGTAAAAAGGCAAACATATGTGATTTTCAAGGTCAGAACATATGTTTCATCGTTTTGGAAGACTTTTATTTCAACACTTGGACATCGCGAATGTTCCACGTGTGCCATTTTGTTTGGGTTACGCATGACATCTGAAACGGAAATATTCATAAAAGTTTAAGCAAAACCACTCTTTGGGAAAGATCTACTTGCTTCAAAATTGTTAAAATTGCAGTTTTTATCGTCATTTTAAAAAAGGTCAAATGTGACAGTTTTTTCGATGAGTTTTTCTAGTTTATTTCATATAACAATTGGCTTTATTGATACGAAATGCCGCTTTTTCCCAGTTGGTGGAATTGTTTGGTTTTTGGGGTTTTTTTTACAGATTGTGTGTGTACGAAAACAAGTGTTTGTTGGAATTCAGGTTTTTATTTTTTTTCTATGTTTATCCATATGTTTTTATGAATATTTTATTCCTCGTTTGTTTTCTATAAGTTTCACGCTGAGAACACTGTTTACCCAAATCTCGTTTTTAATTAGGCTTTTATCAACAAGTTTTCGGAAGATGTGGTCTTGAATCGAAAAAAACAGACAGACATTTCATAGTTCATTTTAAAGCTAAGGATATGGTGCTAAAGATATGGTGCTCGGCGATAACATAGTTCTGTAGTTATCACTGATAGAATTCAATAATAAAGGCCAAAAATATTAAAAATCAGACTGGACAACAGCCTCAAAACCGACAATGATAATGATAATTAGCTGGCTTGACAGAATTCGACACCCGATTGAAAGCAGAGCCTTGCAAATTTGATAGCAGTCGCGTGCAGTGAAGCAGTTAAGCAGTCTGGGTCTTTGTTGACAAGTATTCATGGTATTCCCAGTTGTATGGGCCGTTATCACTCATCTAACCAAGAGTTTGGCCGAGTTGTTCATCTTTCTGTGCAGGATCCGTGCTTAGTGTAAGCCCGTTTTTGATCATTGGTAGGATGCACAATTAAAGACCAATTATGATTGAAAAGCATGAATGAAGACTCTTACTTCAGTTTGGACACCTTATAAAGACTATTTAACTGTTTAACTTGTGAAATTGAATTTGAAAAATCTTTCCACCCTCTGTGCATTGACAGTGCTTTAAGAAGTATGAATTTTGATCATTTTTGGCCCGAGAAATGATAGTGTACTCCTGCTAGAGACTTTTACTTTCGAACTTCATCTCCAAACAAAGACAAACTGTGATGATAGAAAATGAGTGTTATCTCAGGCTATAACTTCTAAGGGACAAAAATGTACATGTATTTTTCTTCTTTTTTTATTAGGCTGCTGAGGAGTATGACTGTGCCATCTTTGTCCATCCATGGGACATGGAGCTTGGTGGTCGTATGGCTAAATACTGGTTACCCTGGCTGGTTGGTATGCCAGCAGAAACAGCCACGGCAATGTGCTCAATGATCTTTGGGGGAGTCTTGGAACGTTTCCCAAAGCTGAAGGTCTGCTTTGCACACGGAGGTGGGTTTGCAAATCGGACTTGGTTTTCATTTACATGTATATTGAAGGCATTTGCCTCAGGGACTAATTTATTATGGTAATGGGGGCAATGAAACCCAAATATTTTGTGTGGAATTTTTCATGTAATTAAACAGAAGATGGAAATATAGTTTGCACATGATACCCATCTCACTGCTTGTCAACCTTTCAAAGTACCCCCGCCCTCCTCCCAGCCTAAACCTGTAATTCATACTGAACTTTTCAAAGGTGGTGGTTTCCCGTTCACCATCGGCCGCATTGAGCATGGCTTCAATGTCCGTCCAGATCTTTGTGCTGTTGAGAATAATGTCAACCCACGCAAATACATCGGTCGTATCTACACTGACTCCTTGGTTCATGATGAGAAGGCACTCCAGTTTCTTGTGGCTACAATGGGAGAGGTAACTTCCAACTGTTTAACCATTATTCATAAATACCTAACACAGTTTACGCATTCCTATTGGTCGAGAGCCCGTCACGTGGCGGGTCTTTAACGGATGATAAAGACATGGCTTGCTGGTCTTAAACACTTTTCCAGTGTCACATGAAATTCGGACTCCCATGAAATCCAACTCCTTTTAACGTTTCATTGGTTGAACGTTCACCTTTCTCACGTATGCATGCGCAATACAACCAGTGAATCAGTATTTCATAGTCCGAAATTCACACTACACCAGCCCAGCTGCGTTTTGCATGACATCGCGCAGTACGCGCAGTGCGCACGCCAATGTCCTTATAAGGTAATGAGTTGTGGAGGGACATTCCATATTATAGTCACAGGGGTGTTTCGTAAAACATGAAGTAAAATTGTTGAACAAAATGGTTGGCAACGTCTAGTTTTTGCCTTTTTTGATTTTTGGACTGAAAAGATTCGTTTTTTTGACCGAAAAGGTATTTATGAATGGGAATAAATGTGTGTTCGTTCGGTATTAAACACTCTGTTTAAGACCGGTGGGAGTCTGGATGGGTGATAATTACCCATCCAGACTCCCATTGGTCTTAAACAGAGTGTTATAATGCCTCCCAAACACACATTTATTCCCTTTAGCAGGAATGATTCAGTTCGTGTAGGGGAGAGGCAGAGACGGAGTATGTACAGTCGGCTCCCGTTATAGCAAAAACGGCTAGAACGAAATTCCGGTTATTACAAACAAACACCTTCGGTCCCGGCAAAATTGTGCACATGTCTATGGGGAAAATTTCGCTTAAGACGAAAACGGACAGTACGAAATTCCTGTTAAAGCGAAAGGTTTTGGCGACCCGGTTGCGTAAAAATGCATTGTTAGTGACACATTTATAACGAAAGATAATCCTGGCTCACGGCTTTTTTCGTTAATTTGAAAGCAGTACAATGTATTAGTAATCAGCAGGTGTCTGTCTTGTGTGAGTAGTTTCATGTTGCCGACGTAGATGTATTCAGATGGAGGTGCTAATCGGTTTGCCGGCGCACAGTCAATTTAATCTCGCGCTGCGGTTAGGCCTGTCATCGCAGTGTTGCAAAGACGCGTGCCAGTCACCCGAGCCACTTGCACATCGCCATTGTGCCATTAATCAAAGACGTACTTCTACCTTTGTGAATGGGCTTTCCCAATTTGTACCTAATTCTGCCGGTTAACAACAAAGGCCCATCATCAAAGTGTTCCGATGACGAGTGCCAGTCACCCGCACCACTTGAATGGGCTTTTCCAATTTGTACCTAATTCTGCCGGCTTGCATTAATGAAAGGGAAACAAAAGCTCAGATTGGTCCAGCGTAATTACGATGTCTTTTGTCATCGAGTCGGGCAGATATTGGATATAAGGGGTGTAGAATATGACAAGCGATCGTACTTCTGAGCTGACTACTGATACTTCTGAGCTGACTACTGATACATCATGACTTCGATCAAGGTTAAGCGTAAGGGGCTGTCCCTCACAACAAAAATGGAAATCATCAAAGCTACTGAAGCAGGACGCTACTGAGGAGGAGCCGCCAACGGAGGAACAACGGCCAAGAAATGTCACCGACTGCCTGAGCCTAATGCACCAGGTTCGGGACTATCTCTGCAGCCAGCCCGACATGGACGACGATGTCTACGATCACGCCGCTGCAATCCTGCAGTACCTCTCCAGTAGGCAGCAAGACAAGATGTCACAGCGGAAGATAACGGACTTCTTCAAGGTGTAACATCACCTTCCAGATAAATCAAACCAAACGGCTCTTTTCAGAGCCACCACATTTTCAAAAAAGAGATTTGAATCCCGACTCAAATAAAAATAGTGAACCCCCACCCTATTACCCGGAGCAAATAAAAATAATCCCCCTCCCCCAAATAGAACCCCTTATAAAAAATTGGAAATTAAATAAAACATAACTTACCCTCTCCCTCCCCGGCACAGATTTGATTTGATTTAAAAAAAAAATCTTAAAATTAATGTGGCCTGACGTTGCGAACTTAGCAAGTTCTTCTTCAGAGGCTAAAACAGCCTTTGTTTTAGCCTCTGAAGAAGAACTTGCTAAGTTCGCAACGTCAGGCCACATTCATTTTAAGATTTATATATTTCAGGTCCATCCAGTCAGTAAGCAGTTTGCAGCAGTTTTACTTTTTTTCATGTTAAAAAAAAAATGTAAGGTTAAACAAAAATTACAAAGCACCCCATTACAAATCCAAAATAAAATAAACAATCTTAGACTATCCCAAAATTCTCCAAAACCTAATTTCATTCAAAATTATTCACGACCTCCCGTAAATTACTCCCCCCTCCCCAAAAAACAAATTTCTTAAATTATTTATTAAATTATAATCAAAACTTTGCCAAAATTGTCTTATTAAAAAACTTATTCATTTGAGCACCAGCACAAAATACGTTAAGCTATTTCGTAACTTTTAAAAAAGGAACCTGCTGGGACGATAAGAAACTGATCACGATAAGTAACTGATCACCATCAACGCTGGACATTATGCATACATATGCAAAGCTATGAATAAATGAACTGGTGCACGCCAATGAGCTCATCCGCTTGCGTGACGTTGAAATCGTCAGACGTTAATATCCAATCACGATGTAAGATTATGACATCATCACTCATTAGGACACTGACTCATGAGGGTGCTCTACCAATTTGTAAAATCTACTCAGATCACGGACGGACCGGAAAATCTGGAACGTAAATGACAAAGGTTTCTCGGCCATGTGCTTGAAAACACTTATCACATTGTCACATTGAAATCTGCAAGACGAAAGAACAATACAATTTAAGTGTGACACAATTTGTGCTGGAGAGATTACTTACTTTGAACATCGAAGTGATCCAGGTCATCCGCCGTTGACTTCTTCCTCATCGATGATCAAGCAATGAAACGTCAGATCTTCGTAATGTTTATTTTATTTTCGTTTTGTACATTAAACATTTTTTTTTTCACTTGACACAATGATACATTTTAAACATTATTTTTTATTTGACAAATCACATCATAGAGAGCATGTTCTTAATTGCTTTCAAACAGAAAAAGTCATTGGGAACATTACGTACGTTCACAAGCGTGCACAATAGGGCCAATTCAAGGTGAACAATGGACGGGAAACATTGTATCGGATATTACGAAATTCGGATACAACGAACATTTTGGCCGGTCCCGTGGTTTTCGCTATAACGGGAGCCGACTGTATTGTTTTGGGTTGATAATCTGGTGATTCTCTCAACCATACCATTTGCCATTTCCCAGGCTAGGAACACTAGTAGTGCTCCTAGCATGATGACTTAGGTCCCCAGCGAGACATTTATGGGATTCGTTGCTTGGCAATTCCGTAAATTTGGACGTACATGTCAGACACTTTAATGAGCTGCTGTTGGAAAAGTGAATGTGATACATCACTAGTAATGTGACATCTAATGAGTAGAAAACAATTACAGACCAAACTAGGGTACCAACACCTTAACGACCTTGTATATGTACATCATGTGGTCAGACGTATGTTGGATTTTATGGAATTGCCCTGCTTTTAACTAGTCTTTCAGGTTCAAATTCTGCTTCAGTCAATTTTCTTTTTGGGGGTCAACCTGTAACATGTAATTAATTTGTTAATTGACCTGCACAACATGTACAGTCAGGATAAGCTAACCTTTCAGTGTTTTTGTTTAGAGATCGGATGCAGGATGACCCAATTTTTTATTAATTGAAAATAGGTTTGTTTCAAATTGTTCTTTTCTTGGATTCAAACTTGCTACATAGTGAAAATCAGGCCAAGGTGTAGTCTGGTCTTGGCTCAGTTATCAGACCAATTGACATGATTCATTTGTCCTATTTGTAGAACCACGTCTTGCTTGGAAGTGACTACCCATTTCCACTCGGTGAGCACCATCCAGGGAAACTCATTGAATCTGTCCAGGACTTCACTCCAGAACTCAAGGTGAGAGGAGATACACCTATCAGACTTGGGATAAATATGACAGGCACCAAAATGACATGCAAAAGACCCCAAAATACTGTCCAGCAATAAAATATTTAATATTTTTCCAAGCTCATCTTTTCAAAAATTTTAACTGATAACAGTATTAAAAGGGGACAAATCCTGGATTCATATTCACAAAATAGTTAAGCAAGGACAGTCAATATGTTTTAGCAGTTACAAAGTACAAATTAAATTGGGAGATAAAAGTAATGCTGATATTATTGTACTGTATGAATAGACCAATCCACGAGGCCCCACCTGTCAGTGTCTCTCCTGGCTAATGAACTGAGCAAGGTGGTTAAAACTCCAATTGATGATTGACAAAATGTACGCAGTCTGCAAACTGAAAGGAATGCAGCACTCACAAAAATGCGCAATGATTCCATCTACACATGCAAATTGTGAGTTCTTGATACATAGAGGTCAAGGAAAACGCTCATAAATTGCATAAAATGAAAAAAATTTGACTAATATTTCCTTTATTGCAAATCGTCACAGCCAGGTGGTGATATTGGCAAAATTGAGCAGGGGAAACACTGCCACCCACTGCATACCGTATGTGGGCAACAATACGTCCGCCTCTCTACATGCTCTAATGCCACACTACATGTTCTAGCTGCGCGCCTCATATGCACATATGCAGGCATGTCAGACGTTTGAGCACATGCCAGACATTACTGAGCTTTGAGGACATTGCCATCAGCATCCCTTACAAAGATTGGAGAAGGGCATATGCTCCACATGAATGCCTACTGGGATTGCTGACCATGGATTTTTAGTAGTGTATATATACACCCAGCATAACAACTACAGTAAACTCCGGCTAAACCGACATCGTACAACTCGTCAAATTGCTCAAGTTGGCCATCTGACTAAAGTCCCGATTGTCCGTAATGCATTTCCATTGCATTTTTTATTTCTAATTCGGCTTTTATAAGTCGCCATTTGGCTCAAGTCTTCATGTTACTCTCGGTCCCCTTTCCATAAAGAGCATTACAAAATCCTTTGTGTAAGTTTGCATTCAACAAATCACGCATTGGCATTGACTTCCTGTACTGCGTTTGGCATGAAGTGTCGGGTGAAAAGTGGTTTGGCACGGCCGTGATCACTGCATGCATCGGTGTCGAAAAAGGGTGTCCTACTGCATACATCGCATATGCATCGTGAGCATATCAATACCAGTACCCCCTCTAGTCTGTATGCATGCAATCTGTCCATTTTGGGAGGTCGTCTTATTGAATGACTACTGCTGCAGTCAATGCGTGCGTGGTATATACCGGACCACGCACGTATTTAATTCGTTACTGTGTATGTACACATGTATCGTGGTCTCCACTATAAATACCCCAAACGTTATGATACAATTCGAGAATTAATTTGCTGGATTCAACTCAAGCATTGAAGGGAATATACATCATTTGCTTTTGCTGTAATTTTCAGAAATGGATGGAATTGGGGGGTTGGAAATATATACCAAATATAGTTATACTGACTTTTTTGAGGTTTTGGGTTCGAAAATGCTATAAAAACCCCCAAAAAACGATCATTTTCCTGTAGTCTGGTTCCCTGACTCCATATAAGAAGAAACAGAGCAGTTTACATACATTGGGGAATTGTAAGGTCAGGGAACCAGTCTAGCTGGCTCGTACCCGTTCATAGGTTTGTAATCGATTGCAAACAAGTGCGATGGTCAATTGGGGCCAGTATTTGGAAAAGAAGCCAGTTGTTTCCAACGCTGATCGGCCGATCAGCGTTGGAAATTGATACAAAAATACCTCTTTTCTTGAAAATGACAGTATACCAGGTGCCATGATTTTACAGGATGCTTTACACTGTCGTTCACTAACAGTCCAGCAAGGTATTTCAAAATGATTTAGTAGTTTTATTTTTTGATGTTTGCAAATGTTGTATTTTCCCTTTAAGGAGATAAACCAGGGTAAATAGAAGCCAATTAGTGCAGTGAATCATGTGCGCAAAAAGGCCATTCATGTAAGTCGGCAAAATGACGACTTGCAGCAGATTTCGGCATTCGTGTAAGTCGTCACAAATTTTCAGGTCCCAAGAGTGCTGACTTAACCGGACTTTACTGTACATGTAAATCAAGTCGTCTTCATGGAATGAGCATAGAAACTCATTTTCAACATTTCAGACCAAGCTTAAATGAATTGCCTTGCCTTGCTTTGCCTTGTAGGATGCTTTACTGGCTGGAAATGCACTAGAGTTTCTTGGCTTGGAGAGGTCACAATATGAGCCTGATGATGGCCCCTCAGCTATGGCGTCAGCGTCCTGCACCAGCAAGGATTGTTCAGTCACTGCAATGGAGACAGAACCCTCAGCAAAGAAACAGAAACTGGAAGCCTGAAAAGGATCTGAAAGAAACAGCCCCGACAAGAATGAGGCTATTTTACCTTCGAAAGAAACGTTTGAAGCAATTTGAACAATGACCCCTACATGACCTTTGACCTCAGTAATCCAATGTAGAATTGTGTCTTCCCAGGATAAAGAGACCTTATATCAGGTTTCCTTCACCATGCATCAGTGGCCATCTGTGCCATGTTTCAGGACTTGATATCAATTTGCACACCATGTGATTGGGATTAAACAAAAGAGAAAAGAGCCTGACTGAGTTTTGAAAGTATTGTTTTTGCTGTATATAAATGTAAATATTACAAAGAAATAACATTAGAGCATGTACATAGCTCATTGTAGGATGATTTTTTTTCTCTAGTGTCCTTTTGATTCCCAATATTTTGTGTGTGTTGAAATGAGTGATAAGCATGCTCTAATATGGGTCTATTTTGTTTGTTTGGTGAAGTTTGGAATTGACTTCAAGCTAAGGTCCTGCTGGAGGCATGCCAGTAGTGTACACCGAGTCACATGTTTTTGTGCAGAGTTTCATGTAACAGTTTTTTTTAAAGCTTTTACAAATTGACAGGGTATTTTTTCATAATACATTGTAATAGGGCATTATTATAAACTTACTATCTATTTCACTCAAAAAGGCATTTATGAAAAAAAATTAAGAATAAAGTTAACGTATTTGTGAGATGTCACTAATGGAAGCAGCCCATAGCTATGGTGAGTTAACTGTTTCTTTGTAAGCCAACCGTTCCAGGTTTCAATTGAGGATTATGCCTTGTTGATAGCTGGCAACAAATAGACGGGGAGAAAGAGAGGTACATGTTAATTGCAGAGCTTCAGATTGGTCCAAAGCCCCATCCTCTTTGTTGCCACTGACAATGTCAAAGTTGCAGAATAGACCATTATCTTCTTGTAGGCATTAGATTTTTTCCCATTGGAATCAATGTAACCAAAGCCAGGCTGGAAGGAAAAATAGTCTGAGTCCTTTTTGCACGAAAACATTATCATTCAGTACTGTTATTGGATGCAGGGAACATGACTGAAATGGTGGCAGCATGATAAGGTCTATTCTGAGTGCAGGTTTCATCAGTTTCTTCTATTGTGTTAGGAATTAGTTTATGACAAGAACAAAGTGTATTTCTTAAAACCAAACAGGAAGGCACTAAATAACCTATGTAGCGGTTTGCCTATTTTCCTTAGTCTGGTGGAAAAGTTTGTATATTCATGAGAAAAGAACTAGGACGTCACAGCATTATTAACTCAACTAGCTACATTAAAGCTGACGTCAAGCTGCCTCGGTAGCCTAGTGGATAGTGAGATGAGCCTATTAACAGAAAGATCTAGATGGTTTTTCAACTATTTTTCTTCTCCAAATTTATCTTTGGGATTATTTTAATAATCCGCTGCACAGGTTAGTGTTTAGTACCTTCCACATATATACATGTAACATGGTTTACTGAAGATGCTGCCACACATACATTGTACATCCTGCGCATGTGCACACCCATTTAATTTGAGATTGAACATGATGTGTACATGATACGTTGCTTCTAAGTTTGGAGGCTGGATTTCTATCTCAATTCACATTACATATTTTAGTTTACTCAAATTTCCTAACAACATACATGTACATTGATATGTAGAATGTAGTAATATTTATGCTTTGTGTACATACACATTCTGTTTGGTTGGTTAATGTCATTTTTGTCCGGATGGGTACATGAGGATGTTTACAGAATTGTGGTCGTTTTTTTTATAGATTGCCACGTGGTCCTTTTGTCATGTGGCTGTTTTGTTTTAATTTCACCTTTTGGAGTGTTACAAGGCAGACTAAATATTGTTCAGTTGCATGATTTATTTGCATGCATTTAAAAATTACATTCTGCCATTGTTTTCGAGGATGCATATTGATTTTAAACAGCTCAGGCGCCTCATTTCAAAGAGTTTCTGGATTGAAGATACTGTTGGCTACTAAACTCCATTGATGAAAAATGCTTTGCACAGCAATTTTTTGCACAAATAGCAGGCAACACACAACTTACTTGCAAGCACCTGACTAATTTGAAATAAGCAAAGTTGTCTTGTCAGCAACCTGACTGAAAGGAGATTTGTTGCAACCTGTGGATCATTGTACTGGAGGTGTCCCAGTGGCTGCAACTTGAATCCACTCGGTCAGATTGCTTCTTTGTCTGAAATTTATGTATTCAACAAAAATCTGACTGTTCCACTGGTTTTATTGAGAATTGTTTTTGGTATAGCTGCTTAGTACAGCCAGAGAGCCAGTCAGCTGGTATACAACTATTGAATGCTTCGAGTGGTGTAGTAAAACTAGCCTCCCGAGGTGATCCATGGACATTCTATTTTCCCGAGGCGAAGCCGAGGGAAAATAGAATGGTCCATGGATCACCGAGGGAGGCTAGTTTTACTTCATCATGAGATAAAGCATTCAATATTTGTTTTATAACACTTCACCCACAGATTCTGCTTGATTTTAATATTTTAAATTATTTAAATCTGAACACAGTTGAAATAAACTTCAATTTCAATACAAAATTGGTGGAAAATGTTTTTCTCTCTTCCAAACTACTCCTTCACGAAATGTATGAACGCAAGTCTGCGGCGCGCTCTCTTTGGAACAAAACACGCAACGCGCACACCAGCATCCATATGCACACAAATACCGCGCCGTGGAAATAGTACTTTGGTTGCTAATGGTATAGTACTTTGGTTGCTACGGGTAAAGTACTTTTGACCGTGCACAGAAAGATAGCAAAATTAGAAAGTAACATGTGACTCACTCTCGGCCAATCAAGACACAGAATCTGTGGGTGAGGTGTTATAATAAAATATAGTCACATTGTAACTGTAAATATGTTTGTTTGATTTATTGCTTTATTAAAACACTGAAAATGAAATAAATACAAGTTCTGGTAAAAAAAAAAAAAAAAGAGTTTTGCCACATAATTTTTGAGTCACTTTGCAAGACAAGTACCTATTGTTCATTTGACATGAGAGCAAATAGTTAGAGAAATCATCACATCTAATTGCACAATTTTGCATAGAATGAAATGCAGGTTGGTCAGTGATATTAAACCATTGCTATGACGTCACACTATTGTTAAAAGTCTGGATTCGGAACTACGAATCTGTTACGCTGGTCACAAAGTGTGGATTCGAAACGAAGAATCTTTAGTAAAGTGTGGATTCGGAATTACGAATCCACACTTTGAACACGTCGGACAATTGTTCTCCATAATGAGCATTAATAGGACCATATGCGTGAAAACTTTCCTTCCGAAATAACCAATGCATCTTCACTGTCAGATTCTCCGCCATCACTGCAAACCCTACTTTGAGTCGAAAGAAATCATCGTCGGAACTATCCATATGTCGACGGATGGAGCCGGGAAAAATGTTGCAACCTGACGCCACATATTTCTTCATAATATCATCTCAATGAAGGTCATTCATTGCAAAAATGATGATAAGACACGAATCTGGGACTGAGAAATATTTCCAAATTTGTTAGAAAATACATAGAAAATGTTCTTGACTCTCCATAGACTTTGTACACAATCGCAGAAGTGGCATCAGGTTGCAACATTTTTCCCCAAGTCTTTTCATATCCACTCACTGTTAATGCCAATACTTCTTTTGACACAATGGTTTTAAGTCGAAGAATACACTCGCAAGTGTGGATTCTTAAGTTACGAATTCACTCGTCGCTTCACGCCTCGTGAATTCTTAAATTACGAATCCACACTTTCTTGTGTATTCTCCTTAACGTATTACACTGAACAACAAGGGCAATCTCAACTTTTGGACTACTTTACTTGCAAGGACTGCAGTCAGTGTAATAACACTGCATTGGTGACTGATGACCAAGACAAATACATATTTTACTGAAAAAAAGGCTTCAGTTTACATTTTTGGCATAAACATTTACGCAATAGTTATAAGGGAATAAATGCTACTAACCCAAAGCCTCTAACGGCTACAATTTTGAAGCCAGAATATGAAGCCTCAATTTCTTTTTTGTTCAAATATGCATCTCGCTGGTAGCAGAATTAATGTCACTGCTTATCATAATTGCTTGTGGTATGACATAAAATCTGGGGCGTAGATCGGGGGGGGGGGGGGGGGGGGGGGGGGGGGGATGGGGGTATATACCCCCACACTTTTTGACCCCATCCCCCCACTTGTCGGCACAGATTTACGCCACTGAATAAAATTAGACTACAACATTTTTGCATTCATTATTTTTGCAAAAATCAAACACTTTCGATCTCAGGCTGTGCTCCGTGGTCATATATGGGTCGATGTGGCCGGCAGCCATAGGCGCCTTTACGTGCCAGCGGCCCAACCACGTTGTAGCCGCGTCCTTCGCAATTCAGCATACCAGCTGCGAGTAAGGATGATTAGCCTCCCAAATTATTATTATTATTATTATTATTAGCAGCAGAACGTAAATTGCAATGTTCCTTTTCATCCATGTCCGGCCTTTTCTTTCTGGTCTTGTTCTTTCAATTTCTCTTCATAATCATCAATGACAATTCGTATTCTTTGCTTCAGAAGATCCATGCCCAGGCCCTCCTTGGCAGACACAGGGATGATGTCTTCGAAGGCAATCGCAGACTTTGCTCTCAACTCTTCAGGAATACTGGCAAAGTTTCCTGTGAGTGAGGGGAAAAATGAGCAAATTGTTGGTTTGCTTATACAGGCTACAACGAAAACAAATAGCTGCAAACATTTCAAGATCTCTAGTTTCTAAGTATTTTTCCCCGAGGAAATTTTGAGCTAAATATTCTTGGAAATATTCTCATAATGTTTTGCAGACATTACATGAAAAGTAAAAATCAAGTGGTGACCTGTAATTTCTTTTGAGTTCTCATTGGAGGGATTTGCGATAAACAAGATGATGAGGGACAACAGCCTTGGATAAGGCTCTGGGTAAAGATTGAGTATGTACTACTGAAATCCCTGATGAGGCCTCTGTAGCAAATAGAATGGGTTTTTGTTCATAGTTGCAAGGGCCCCTTGGTTGCTCTTATTTCCCTATGTTCTCATTGGACAGATTTTGTTCACTTGGTGATAAGCTATTAGCAAAGACAACTTGATATCTGGAGACAAGGTAAATGTGTGCAACTTTAGCCCAAAAAGGGCCGGGGGGGGGGGGGACTTTTTCCGCGATAGCTTTGAAAAAAAATTTTTTCGCAACCTGAGCTGTTATGACTTTTTAGCCTTGAGCCTTGCGAATCTTTTGATACCAAAAACATAAAAATCAGACCACGGGTTGCCGCACAGCGAAAAATTTTCCAGTGCTACGCACCGTGAAAACTTAAATTTCCCATACATGGTGTACACAGAGCAGAATTGCCATTCGTACATATGAATAATTAATTAGCCATAATTCCAAAACCCTTTGACCTATAGTCATGAAATTTCTTGGGTATGTTCATGATGAGTTGCTCTATGCATGTACCGAGTTTCAAAATTGTTCGTCACTCGATGACCGAGATCTTAGGGGGTGGGCGGATATAAGGTAAAATAGCTATGTTACCTACTTCTACTTGAAAATGCCTCTTCAAGTAACATTTCGTTTTATGAAACTGAGTAACTCAAGGCCATGCTTTAAGCTTTGCCCGATGCGGGAAAAAATGACATTCCAACCTAACGGTAAATGTCTTTCAAACAGTTACACTTGACATGCTCATTTCTAGACTCATTTTTTATCGAAAATTGTATTGACTGATAAATATAAATGAGGTCTCAATTGGTCACATACAACAATGGCACTGGTAATAGTCACTCACTGTCTTGAATACACTGTCTTGTATGTTGCATATACTCCTCTGCATTATCCATATCCATCTTATTCAATGCTAGAATGGCTGGTTTACTAGTCAGCTCGGGTTTATACAGCTCCAGTTCCTGTGCAGGACAGAGAGGAATTAGTCAGGAGATTAATTTAGATTCGGTTATGATCATCCCTGCAAGTACCTGTATGCAAGTACTGAAAATTTATTTCAAACTTAAAAATTCAAAATGAATCATCTTAAGTTAGAATTGCATGCTTAAATTCCATTTAGCCATTACTGTGACATGTTTGTTTGCCATTACCAGGAAACTTCCATGCCTGAGTGCAAACTTCATGAATCCTAAACTCAAGTTTAAAGCTCTGAACATAAGTGAATGCATTGTGTAAAATCTAATCAAAGCGAGAGTAGTAGGATGTTCGAAGCATCCAAGTAATGGTAAAAATCACCACAGAGGTAACTTGGATTAGTCTGTAACTTTGTCTGCTGTTGAGAATGGGTCAATCAAACAATGACCTTACGTCTTGCAATTCTTCTATATGATAAAAAAAAATGCATCACCACCTGTGGTTAAGTTGAATTGGAGAAGGGAGACTTGTTACTTTAACTTTTAACAAAGTGGCTGAACATGTGTTTCATTTAAATGTCTCTTCCACACAGGTAAACCAATCTAACCTTCAAATATTATGTCATGCTTTGAGTACAACAAAATGGTTTTCTTGATGTACAGGCAAACACTGTTCATAAGAGCTCCCGCAGACATACGAAAACAATGTACTATCCCGTACCTCATATAATGCGTGGTTTTCCCATTCAGGATATGTACATGTACATGTACAAGCTGTACGTATGCCATACATGTGTGTTTGTTGTTCAGATGACATACGATGTACGTACTACTTCAAACTTTTAATTGAGATGTTTAATAAATATAATGTAATAAAAGTGAAGTAACACTAGAGATTCACGTTTGTTGTTACAAACGCAGAGTGGTTGGGTAGACAACTATTTCATGAAACACTGTCTAGTTAAGTTATGAATGTTTTTATGTAAGAACAAAGGATCACTAAATTAAATCCTTTCCAGGACAATCAATTATTTTGTTTAAAACATGCATCTTTAACGGTGTGATAAATTTCAGTAAACATTCTATGTACACATACAAGTTATTTCTGGCTTGATAACGTCATTAGTCAAAAACGGGAAGTACAAAATGTAAATACTGATTTAGGTCGGAGTGGATGTTCATTGTGAAGTTAAATATTGTATGAAACTTTGGAAAATATAAGTGTATGTATTCATAACATCGAACTTCCAGTTTGATGACGTCATAGTATTTGGAAGAAAAAGGTGAACATTGTAATGATATCGTTATTCGGGCTAAGATATGCGACATGGATCAAATGATAGAATTAAATTTAAAATATGATCACTGGCAAATTCTCATAGAAGTAACTTCCGGTCTGATGACAACATGAATTTGAAACCTTGCTAAGTTATCTGTGGTTAATCAAAGAATATCAAGGGGCGATTTGGTAAAATTTGAACTTATGGTTTTAAAATTAAAGAAAAGAAACACTATTTTATGTGCCGCTCGGGGGCACCCTTTCGGATGGTGACGTCATCACACTGTTTTTTTGAGTCTGGCATTCCTCACTTAAAACACTTTCATAATATACATCTGTAGTAAAATGCTTCCGCTTTTGAGTTATATTCAGTTTTCATTGCGCTTCCAGTAATGATGGAAGTAAAGGTCCAGCCGTTTTGTGCCCGGGAACACGAAATGTTTCTCACGGCATAGTCTACAACCTCACGAAAAAAACAAACACGATACTCTATTTAGTTCAAAAGATATAACGCAAACTATTTTGTCAAAATTTGCCCTTAAATCGCTTGTAATTTGATACCTGATGACGTCATGATGATGTAACAAAATTTATAACATCTTCGTAACATGGTACAAGTTCACACAAGGTTTTGTGATCATACCGTAAACCGTTCTGAAGAAATTGTGCTGTTTTGATTTCAGGCTATGTTTTTTTGGTCTTTATTTTGAATTCACTTAACTTTGACCTTCCGGTAGAACCGGCAGTAAAGGTTAAGCGAGTTCACATACACGACAAAAAAATGTTCAGCGATTAATGGTCTATCTGATTACAAGGTTGGAACAAAATTTATCACTTTGTTCAAGAGTTATAGATAAAAGAAGATTGTCATTTTTTAATGAAAATCGCTTGTAATTTGACACCCTATGACGTCATAATAATGTCAGAGTAATATGCACCACGTAGGATGAGGGTCGATATATATTGAAAGTTACAAGTTCCTATCATAAATCATTTAGGAGAAAACCCGCGGAACCGTGCTGTTCAGAAAAGAAAAAAAAAGAAAGAAAGAAAGATTAATCGTAACAACTCCAAAGAGTGGTCGGGTTGTGCCCGACCACTCAATAATGGACTGGAGAGACCATGATGAGGCCAGAAGCTACTACCATGACTACAGCCAAATGTACACATACAGAGCCATCTAGAACAACCACAAGGAACTTCTCCAGAGAATGCATACATGCATTCACATTGTATTGTATGCTATACATGTGGGCAAGGGCGGATCCCGAAAGATATCTGCCGGGGGAGGGGGGGTAGGAGTGCTCTCTCAAGTCAACAATTGCCTTATTTGACAAATTTTGGTGAGCTGGCACCCCCTCTGCACCCCCCTGGATCCGCCACTGGTGGGAACCAGTATGGACGAGAGAAGGGTGTGCAGTTCTACACTGCGTTATGGAGAAGTTTTTTATTGAAGGAAAATAAGGGCCGAGTCATGGGGACTTTCTGCTGTCCCCACAGCATTTTCGGCCCCAACAAATACATTGTACAGACGAGTGTACGCCCCCGAACTACTGAACAAGAATGTGTGTACTGAGGCTGGTTTTAATAAATTGCGGTTTTGGAATGGGAAAGAATGTTTTTAACTGTAAATTAAAAATCAAGGTGGTTAATTGCTATTGTTTCAACTTATCGCCATTAACATTTCAACTTAACGTCGTTGCATCAATTTCTATGATATTGGTACCTAATGTGAATCAGGTTACCAGACTTAAAAACATCGCTTCAACAATGCTTGAATATAACATCTTTATGTTTCGGACAGTATGCTCTGTCCGTCGTGCTCCAAAACGTTGAGTATTCCCCCGGTTCTTTTCAGAACCTCACAAACCCAAAAAGAGATTTGTCACATGGTGCTATCGTAAATCTTTATCTTATTGCTACCTTCACCATGCAAACCTTCAAATCTTATATTAAATCTTCATTCTCACTTGCTGTTGAGATCATGTGAAAGAAACTGCGAACTATTATAACAATGCACCAGAAAACTAGGAAAGAAAACAAACCAAAACACAAAGATTAAAGGGAATATACAACATTTGCTTTTGCTGTATTTTCAGAAATGAATGGATTTTGTTACACTGACTTGTTTGACGTTTTGGGTTCGTAGATGCTGGAAAAACCAAGAAAAACAATCATATTCTAGTAGTCTGGTTCCCCGACCCCACTTAAGATAAAACGGAGCAATTTATAGACGTCAGGGAATTGTGAGGTCAGGGAATCAGTCTTCCTGGCTTGTACCCACTCACAGGCGTGTAATCAATTGCAAAAAAAATGCAGATTGTAGTATGATAGATTTGGAGCAGTATTTGAAAAAAGTCTGTTTTTCCAACGCGATGCAAAAATACCACTTTCCTTCAAAATGTCAGCACACCAGGTGCCACCTACCTACCAGATTTACTGGATTGAGTAACTGACACAGTGTTTTCAAGATGTTCGCATTGTAAACTGAAAGACTGATAATTCTTTTGCAAGCAACTGGTTGACAAAAATGCCTGTCATAACCGTGTTAGCATACTTAAACAGCTCAAATTAAAGTGCACATCTTGGTTTTGACTGACAAAATATATTTGTTGTAACAGTGATTTCATCCAAATAATGCTCGTAATAATCGTTTTTGACTGTATGTGTTGGCAGTGCCTCAGGCATCAACTTGTTGACTCTTCTATATTGGGCTGAAGGTTGGAATGAGAGTGACATTTGGGGTGACTGACTGACAGTTTAAAGGCCCCAAAATGAATGTTCTCATCTAATTTACATTTTTTGTGTTGACCTAAAACAAATGACCCTGTGAACCACACAATCTGGCTTCATGAAAGCAGCATTAAATTATAGCAAATACCATGTGACGATCATTGAAGGTCTATCATTAATACCTGATTTAGAAGCATTACGGTTTCCAAGGCACTTCGGAAGGGATGTCTGTCAGACAGTTGAAACCCATGAACATCCACCATGAACAACAGCAGTTTGGTTCTCTCCACATGGCGCAGGAATTTGTGGCCCATGCCATAGTTCATGTGAGCTCCCTCTATCAGCCCAGGCAAGTCAGCCAAACTTATCTGGTTGTTACGAGAAAAACATTTTTTTATAAAGTGATTTTGGGATGAGATGACATCAGCCCTAGTGTGTTAGTGGTTATCTCAGATTAATGCTGTCTCACAGCTTGTGGATTGAAATGCAGACTGACATGCATAGATTTCAAACAGTAAAAATTAGTTTTATATCTGTGCAAGTTGTTAGTACAAGCAATCAAAGCTGACAATTACCAGTGCAACCAAACAATCACAGCCTAACAAGCCACCACCCCGACCCTGCACTACCACAGTTCTTATTCAACATAAAGCATGTGAGAAATACAGCAGCAGTAAAAACGGAAATGTTGGGCAGCTTGACGTCCTCACATGCACCGATGTTGTATAGAAAAATACTTGAGAACCCAGACAAATGTATTTCAACAAAGTTAAATTGAGTGTGAAGTGTGAAGTGTGAACTATTGAAAAGTCTGTCTCTACAAACCTCATGATTGATTTTTTACATTTACATAACATAAATCCACAAATGAATGTGTCAATGTGCCAATATAAGACACCTTGTCCGAAAAGTTCAATTGTTGAAGAAAGTAAGAAACAGGGCCCAATTTCATAGCGCTGCTTAACAGCCGACTTTGTGCTTACCGAGCCTCCATCTATTTCATGGCGACTATTAAGCAGTAAGCACAGCAAAAGCAGGCTTAACCACAGAGGAAAAAGTTGCTTAATCAGTGACATAACAAAAAAAATCTCTGTCGCGCACAATCGTTAGCACGTCCACGCCATGAAATAGTGCTTAAGCAGCAGCATGATTTTCCACTATAGTAAGCACACCTTTTCTGCTAACTGTTAAGCAGCCCTGTGAAATTGAACCCAGATCTACTTACCTGTCTCTGATCTGGATATCCAATGATTCCTACTTGTGGTCGGATGGTTGTGACTGAAATGTTAAGTAAAATTGGCCAATTTCATATTAAGAGACTGAATCTAGTACACAGACTTGACCTTGGACTCTTACTTACATTTTGTTTTGCATTCTAAATTGTCTTTTGTTTAACATTCGAAATTCAATTTAAGAACTTGAGAAACAAACTGCAAATTATGGTCAACTAACAATACTAGTTAGGCAGACACAAAATGTGCGGAGGGATTTTTGCCAAAACCATTTTTTTCACAAGTATTGCCAAAACTCAGACAAGGACTACAAATGTGATGCACATGCTCTGAACGTGATACCACCTACATGTCAGCCCACAATGTCACTGTCCTTACATGGATAATCAGCGATCTTTGGTTGGCTTCTGGATAAGGCTTTCAGCAGTGTTGACTTGCCTGCATTAGGAAAACTTTGTAGACATGAAATGGAGACTTTATTTATAAATTCTACAAAATTAAATCTACTTCTTAATGGAAAAGAAACTTGACACAAGCAAGGGTGAGATTGGGTTGAAATGAAAAATCCACGAAATAACTTTCAGCAGATTTGGGGGCTGCTCAGGCCCCCAGAAAAAAAATGTAGAGTTTATGATTTGTATTTGCTTAGGGCACCCCTTAAGTTAAAGGGAATGTACAACATTTGCTTTTGCTGCAATTTTCAGAAATGGATTGCTTTGGGGGCTAGTATTTTATAGCAAATATTGTTACACTGACTTGTTTGATGTTTTGTACATGTTGACGCTTGAAAAACCAGGAAAAACAATAATAAACCAGTAGTCTGGTTCCCTGACCCCACTAAAGATGAAACAGAGCAATTTATAGACTTCAGGAAATTGTAAGGTCAGGGAACCAGTCTAGCTGGATGGCACCTGTTCATGGATGTGTAATCAATTGCAAACAAAATATGGACTGAATACAGTTGGTAAATTGGGGCAGTACTTGAAAAAAATAAGGTTTTTCCAACGCTGGTCGGCCGACCAGCGTTGGAAATTGATACAAAAATACCACTTTTCTTGAAAATTACAGCACACCTGGTGCCACAATTTTACAGGATGCTTACTGTCATTCACTAACAGTCCAGTACGCTTTTCATGATATTTTGATAGTATTATTTCTCGATGTTTGCAAATGTTGTATATTCCCTTTAAAGTCAGCCATTTCTTTCACTCTATATAATTGTTAATAATGAAAACACCTCTGCAGTAAAACCTCAGTGATTCAGATTTCAAACGGGATTCTTCAAAAATCCTGAAATCAGGAAAAATCCTGATAAATCTCACCCCTGAAGAAGATCACAACCGTCACAATAGAGTACAAAGTGTGATGTCATTTTGAACCGGGAAGTGTAGTGCAAATGAATGGAGTAAGCGTGCGTGTTGGTTCACGGGCTGAATCACGTGCTAATGTCTTTTACACACATAATTATGCGCGTGATAGTAAAAAAATTGGAGAAATAAATAAAATAACTGCAGAGTAACATTTTAATTTCTGTGAGCTTTCCAGCCAGACATGAGATTGACAGGTTGCAGTTATCTGTCGTGAGGCTCAGCACACAGGCCCTACACATATGTACAGTACACCCTTCACATGTGTGCAATATATGCAAAACGGTGTATATGAGGGAATTGTTTTTGTTATATCATGTCTTTGATAGTGTAATTTCATTGGTCTAGAATGACCATGTGTCTAGTCCATAAAACTGTACTGTTTACTTCATATACAAATGTACACTGCATTGCATATAAAACACCTAATACACACTGCATTGCATATCATTCACCTCATCTGCACTGCATTGCAGAGAACTTACTGCTGCATTACGTAGGGCCTGCCCATGCACCTTGCAACTGCAACCGCTCAGTCTCATGTCTGGCAGGAAAGCTCACAGTAATCAAACAGTTACACTGCAGAGATTTCATTTATCTCTTCCATAGTGAGTTACAAGTCTTTCTCTCTTTGTCTTATTGGCCCTGTATAAGAAATCCCTGTGATTTGGGATATGGCGTTTCTTACCCTCCTGGAATGCATATACACGAAGAGGTTAAAAATGGCATATTCCACAGCAGTCAAGAATTGTTAAATGTGCAACGCAGTCATGAGGTAATTTATACACAACGCAATGTATATGAAGTAAACAGCCATTCCATGGACTGGACACGTGGCCATTCCAGACCATGAAATTACAGTATCCAAGACATGATACAACAGTTACAGTTGCTTAAATTGCGACATCATTTCTTAATAACAGAATTGACACGTGGATACATGTGCAATGATCCCTTTTGCACATCTAGACTACACCTAGAAGCCTCACTCCAAATGTACTGATGTGCTCTGCTGTGAATCAGACAATATCTTTACCAAGGGACAGCCAATGAACATACCCAACGAGTCCGACGTCGGCAATGAGTTTGAGAATCAGTTTGATGTTGCGGCGCTGCCCCTTCTCTCCAGACCAATTGTTGCTATGGCAACCTCCTCGTCCCCCTTTTGCAACTAAAGCTTCTTGCCCCTGTTGATCAAGATCTCCTGTGGACAAAAGATAAGATAGTTCCTCCTGTTATTTCCTTTCCAATACATTAACCAACAGGTTACAAGTATCAAGACAATTACTGTAACACCTGTCCTGAGCCATATGCATTTATCCTTCACATCGCAGGTTAATCCCATTATCCCAGTACCATTTATTCCTGGGTGAAGTGAGGTCAAGTGGCTTGCCTGGTCATTGGCGTGATTCAAAACCGCAGACGTTCTGATTATGAGAACAGTACAAACCTTAACCACTAGGCCATACTCCCCATGACAATCTAAGAAAAAACAGGTGTTGCCACGCTGAACTTGATAAAAAAAAATCAATATCAGGACTATAGATTTTCTGATAAGCTACTTTCCATGGTAATTTTTGCAACTTTTACCTTCCCTCCCCCCCCCCCCCCCCCCCCATTTTGGATAATTCAACAACAATGCTTTATGTAAACTCCATCCAGCCATGCATAAAACTTAATTTAAAATCCCATTATCAAAGTAATTATATTTCTGGGTGAAGTGAGTCAAAGCGGCTTGCCTAAGGACACAACATGTGGTCATTGGCGTGATTCACCTTTTCCCCCCAATTTGGATAATTCAACAACAAAGCTTCATGTAGATCCATCCCGCCATGAACACAATTTAAAAATCTGGTTAACATTTGGAACTCGTCTAAGCAGCTCCCTTTTTTCATAACCCCTCTATTTCATAAGTCTATATGGACTCTGTTTAAGTGCTATACGACAGAGTACATGATTAATACATGGGAGAAAGAACAATTGGGCCTAAGATTTCCCTACAAATTGTCTCTACAAATTGTTGTATATTGAAAGCATTACATTCTTGTTATTATTTTGGCATGAGTTTCTATGGGCTTGGGAGCATCAGTGCATAGTTTGGTAGTATCTTCACATGAATACAACTATAAATTTGGGGATATTTTTTTTCTGCTGTTTATATCTAACTGCAGGAACAGGTCAACGCAACGTATACTATGATACAAATTATTTTCGAAGACTTACCCAGATTGTGCCCTTCATCTGTAGTGACACAGATTCCAAGAGGGACTTTAATGGTGACGTCACTTCCCTTTGATCCCTGCAGGGCTCGAATCCTGATCCAGATCAGGAGGCAAAAACAATTACATTTGTACCACTGTGAACTGAAAATTGCAGCACCAAAGAGCCCCAAGAGGCAGAGACTGAATCGGACTGGGTGAGAACATTCTTTGTCTGAAACCGCAAAACATGTCAAACATTCATGTACCAGCAGGACACAAACAGTCCATATTTGGCCACCATACGAATCTTAAAATGTGAAGAGTTTACATCCACCATGTGATCAATGTTATTTCGTTCCCTTTTAGAATCCCGCCCTCTCCTGGCTGCCCAAAGCCAGTTTAGAAGGACATTATATAGTGAAACACAACTTAAGAGCACAATAAAGTGAAAGATGTGGCTTAGAAACAGCCATTTTACTGGGTATGTTCCATACGATTTCATAACTGGAGAATTTTTCACTTTCTCAAATGGATACATTGCATTTTGAAAATTAAGTCTTCTTGTGTAAACAGGAAAAATGAGAAATCAATTAACACATTTTCCTAAATGTTCAATACTTTCTATTTATGGATCTCTCCCATTTTATTTACCAACTTAATTTGCAAAGCATCAGAAGAACCTGAATTGAAATCCTTGGTACACTTTAAACTGACAGTGGAAGAAGCAGATTATACATTACCCCAGTATCTGCCAGAATTTGATATTATGTTAGTTTTATTAAGGAGTCAGTCTTTCTGCATTGTGTTCTACTCACCTACTGTTCTCCCCTGTTCCAGCAGAATAGCGTTTCTTGGTTTTAAAATCTCTCATGGTAGCCTCCTTACTTGCCTTGACATAGATGTCCCCACCCCTGCCTCCCACCCCACCATGGGAGGGATAACCCTGCCCCCCACCTCCACCCTTGACATAGATCCTGACTTGATCAATGAATCGGCTCCTCCATCTTCCTGCCTGAGTGAGAAACAAACAAATATTCTACACATTCAGAACTCATTCAAAATTGTTCTTTAAAGGTTTCTCAAAACAGTACGGGTATTAAAATACTGCATAAGCCCTTAAACTGTGGGTGTCTATTAACAGGTTTTTTTGTTGAACATTTTAATTTTACTTGTATATGATCCCTCATTATTGACTGCTGTACTTTCTCATATCTCATCTACCATGTTGTTTTCATGGCTTCCTTCTATGGCCTACTGTGGAGGAATGTGGTTGGAACTTGAACATTTCTCAAGTTCAATATGATCAATTACATTACAGTGAGCATTTTATCTTATCATTTTCAGGTTTCTTTTATAATGCATTTGAAGTGAGGAGACCAAATCAGTATACATGTACAACTATTAAAGTCAAGGTTGGGCCTTACAAAGACCGATGCTTTTTCAAGTTTGCGGGGTCTAATACTATTAAGGCATAGTATGAAGGCTTATATGAAGCCTTACCAAGGCTTTGTATAAGAAACCGCACGTCTACAAAACATGTTGTCATAACAACCAGTAACATTACACATTGAAAAATTATATTAAAATTTCAATGCCGGAGAAATTACTTTATCCGAGCAGGTTGCACAAGTCAGAAAGTTAAAAGTGTTGTACCTTCGTTACAAGAGTCCTACGTAAAAAGCATGGAAATATCACCATGGTTCTGATGTTAGCCTAATACATCATGTATGACGTCCAACTGCAAGTGTAGGAAAAGGTTCCCTGGGTCTGCGATCTTCAGCTCAGGATAAATCTGTCACAGACATAAAAGAATTACCAAATTATTAGACTTTATATCTACAATCATCATAGAGTCAGTCTACTGGTTCTGTATCTGAGGCCCTACACATGTTTGTATCAAAAGTTATAAAAAAACACTTCTTTTTTTCCCTTGCATTACTCGGCCTGATATTCCATAAAGGCCTGAAGGTGCATTTACACAAGCATAAACTTTAGTAGTAGGGGAGGTGGGGGAACCGGAGCAAAATGGAAAAAATCTGCGGCAAGCCTGAGCACGCCGCTCTCGATTCTAAAAATAGTTGGGGAAAAATATAGGGGAATCCCCCGATCTCAAAAAAAAAAATCTGACGCCGGGTGTGGGGGAGAAAAAAAAAAAAAAAAAAAAAAAAAACTGACGCCGGGTGTGAGAGAAAAAAAAAAAAAAAAAAAAAAATCTGACGCCGGGAGAGAGAGAGAGAGCAAAAAAAAAAAAAAAAAAAAAAAAAAAAATCTGACGTCGGGAGAGAGAGAGAGAGAGAGAAAAAAAAAAAAATATCTGACGCTGGGAGAAAAAAAAAAAAAAAAAAAAAAAAAAAAAAAAAAAAAATCTGACGCCGAGAGAGAGAGAGAAAAAAAAAAAAAATCTGTCATCGCTAAAATGAGGTGATGTCACCACCACGTGACCTTGAAAAATATGTGAGTCACCACCACGTGACCTTGAAACGTGTTGAGGCACGATAGAAATTTGGCGTAAACAACGCGACCTTGAAAAATGTGTGAGTCACCACCACGTGACCTTGGGAATTTTTACTACAGTCAAGCTCTCATGGATTATGAAATAATTGATCGCCCTCCAAAAAAAATGAGAAAAAAAAAAAAAATATTATATTTCCTATAATAAATGGAGAGTAATATGTTCAGACCGACCGTCAAAGGATATTCTAAATGGAACAAAGCCACGCTGCGTGATTACGTGCAGCGGTATAATATACCGCACAATGAAAATGTTTCTCTTACTCGTAAAGTTTACATCGAGGGGATAAAACATTATGAAAGTAAATTTAAAAACTTGAGGAAAAAGAAACTTTATGAGCTCAAACAGATTGTAGACGAACACAATCTAGAATACGTACCGACGGGTTATAAAGGACGAGTTTTGAAAAAAGATTTAATCTCGGTGATTAAAACATACAGACAACCCGAATACTTTACAGAGTCAGCTTTTAGAGAAACGAGAAGGTTTAGAAATTATTACAGAAACTGGGAATTAAACCCCAGACTTTATAACCATGATTTAATCAAGTTTTTTGATTCGCACAAGGAACAAATAGTCAATAAAATCAAGTCAGAATTGAGAGAGCTGAGAGGTTTAAAAATGGAGCTCACAATCAAAATAAAATATGAAAAAACCAAACCGGATGGTACGATCGAAACGATCGAAGCTATTCATTATAGCAAGCCAAAAGCCGTTTTAAATCAAAGTCAAATAAAACAGGTTTTAAAAGAAGAGATCGAAGAGCTATTCAAAAAGGATGAAAGGTATACGAATCAAGGATCGGGTTGGGTTTTAAAAAAGATAATGGCGTTATACATCAACATCAACAGATATAATCCAGCGAGAGGTAGTTCTTACATAAACCTACCCGAACATCTTAAAATTAAACAGGCGATGATCAACGTACAAAACAAAGACGACGAGTGTTTGAGATGGTGTTTGAGAGCTGCTCTTGGGTTGTACACGGATAAAGTAAAAAATCAAATAAGAAATAATCCTAAATATAAAATCAACGAAAGCAGACCGTCGATTTACACCAAAGATGACGGACTCAGTTTTAAAGGCGTTGACTTTCCGACACCGGTCGATCAGATACCCAAGATAGAAAGACAAAATAATTTATCGATAAACGTATACGGTTATGAGGGTGAGATATATCCATTATACGTGTCTAAAAACTACGGGGCAAAAGAGATCGATCTGCTTTTGATTTCTAAAGGTGACAAGCATCACTATTGTTGGATAAAATATTTTACGAGGTTGATGTACGACGTTACAAAACATAATTGTAAGAAATATTTTTGTAGAAGATGTCTATGCCATTTTACCAATCAAAACAAATTGGACAGACATATCGCCGATTGTAAGGGTATAGATGCGCATCCATCAAAGATTGTATTTCCTATGGGTAAACCAAAATACATAGACGGACAACCAGGCGAAAGAGACGTACCGATATTAGAATTTAAAAACTATAGACACAAACAAAAAGCACCATTTGTCATTTATGCTGACTTTGAATCAATACTACAAACAACAACACCCACGCAGACACTGACATCTAAACCTACTCACTCAGACAAAGAGACAAACACAAAAAAGATTAACGTTCACAAAGCTAGCGGTTATTCGCTAGTTGTCGTCCGATGCGACGGTAAAAATGTGTATCAAGAGACTTATAGAGGCAAAGACGCTTCAACTAGATTTATAACGACGCTGTTACAATTACAAAGCGATATTAATTGCATATTTGAAAAACCCCAAACCATGAAATTTAACGAGCGAGCTAAAGACCATCACGATACAACAAACGCGTGTTGGATTTGCGAGAAACCAATTTATCCCAATTACTCGAGCAACTGTCAGTGCCAGAAACCCAGGGAACCCAAGACGATAAAACAAATAAAAGAATATCAGTGCAAAAACAGTAAGGGATTTACCGAGTCTAAATGTCTCGACTGTAAAAAGAGAATCAACAAATTTAGAAAGGTGAGAGATCACTGCCACGTCACTGGTAAATATAGGGGTGCTGCACACGCTTATTGTAACCTCAAACTACAAATTAAACCCGGTTGTACACCGATACCAGTCTTTTTTCACAATTTACAAAATTACGACGCGCATTTAATCATGCAGGGAATGACAGAATACGATAGCCAAACAGAAATACAAGTGATCGCTAAAAATTCAGAAAAGTATATTTCGTTTTCGATAGGAAATCTACGATTTTTAGACTCGTTAAGTTTTATGGCATCATCGTTGGATAAATTAGTGAAAGCTTGCCCAAAAGAGTCGTTTCAGCTACTCAAAAAGCATTTTAAACATCCTGACTTGCTATTACAACATGTACAAAAAGGAATTTATCCCTACGAATATATGAACTCGTTTGATAAGTTTCAAGAGACCAGCCTACCACCCATCGGCAAGTTTTACAGCAGACTAAAAGACGAACATATATCGCAACAAGACTACGACAGAGCTCAACGCGTGTGGAACGAGTTTAATATACAAAATCTAGGAGAATATCACGACTTGTACGTGACGACCGATACGTTATTACTTGCAGGCGTATTTGAAAACTTTAGAAGAACGTGTATTACAAACTACGGGTTAGATCCAGCCAATTATTACACCGCACCCGGATTATCCTGGGATGCTCTATTGAAACACTCGGGAGTTAAACTCGAACTACTGCAAGACGTAGACAAACATTTATTTTTTGAAAAGGCAAAACGAGGAGGTATCTCGAGCGTGGGTGGAATGAGATACCACAAAGCCAATAATCAATATCTCGATGACTACGATTCAAACAAACCCTCGAGTTATATCGCTTATCTGGATGCCAACAATCTGTACGGTTGGGCTATGAGTCAATATCTACCGTACAGCGATTTTAAATGGACACCCTCGAAACCGTTTGCCGAAGAAAGAATATTAACGCTTAAGAAAACGTCCAACACCGGTTATTTTTTCGAAGTAGACCTCGATTACCCGCACGATCTACACGCAAAGCACAACGATTATCCCCTAGCGCCAGAAAACATCGTCATACCCCAAGCTTGGATGTCTGATTATCAAAATGACTTATTGGATACCGAACCTAGTAGCGACGTACAAAAATTAACGTGTACGCTTAATCCAAAACAAAAATACGTGTTGCACTACGTTACGTTGCAGTCATACCTCAATCTAGGTTTGAAATTAAAAAAGGTGCATCGCGTGTTAAAATTTAAACAAGCGCCTTGGATGAAATCTTACATCGACAAAAACACGCAACTCCGAACCAAAGCAACCTCTGATTTTGAGAAAGACTTTTTTAAACTGATGAATAACAGCGTGTTTGGTAAGACGATGGAAAACGTCAGAAACAGGATTGACGGTTACCTACTGAGAGACAATAACGAGAGCGATCAAGAAAAATACAAAAAAATAATTCAAAAACCGAGCTATAAAACAACAACGCCGTTTTCAGAATGTAACCTGTCGTTTGTCGAAACGTACAAGACTAAAACCTTGTTAAACAAACCCATTTACTGCGGAGTGAGCATCTTAGATCTCTCTAAGACGCTGATGTACGATTTTATTACAACCGATTGAAAGACAAGTACGGAGATAAAATCAGGTTGATGTATACGGATACGGACAGTCTGTTGATTGTCGTTTACACGGATGACATATACGAAGACATACAATCTCACGGGCAACACTACGACTTTTCAAATTACCCAACAGATCATCCTTTGTACAATCCAACCAATAAGAAAGTGATCGGTAAATTTAAAGACGAGTTTGGAGGTAAGGTCATTCAAGAAGCCGTTTGCGTAAGACCTAAGATGTACTCGATTTTAGCGGATGACAACAACATCACTCTTAAAAAAGCCAAGGGGGTCACAAAATCGGTCACTGACAAAAAATTAAAACACCGGCACTACTACGACTGCATCTTTAAAAATAAATCTAAAACAGAAACGATGACTCACATTAGATCGGAAAATCACATCCTTTACACCATATCTCAAAATAAACTATCGTTGAGTCCGTTGGACACAAAGAGGTACATTTTACCGGATGGAATACACACGCTCGCTTATGGTCACCGTAATCTAGATATTAATTAGGCGGTAATTGCGTGTCCTCGGGTACGACTTGAAGCTCTTGTCTCACAAAACTCCTTTTTGGACCGTTTTGAAGGTAATAAAGAGTAGGACCCGTCGTGACTTTTTTACCGTTAATCATTTTAAATTGACTCGTTCTTTTTT